TCAAGAGCTTCAGTAGTTCAGTAGTTCAGTTCAAGAGCTTCAGTAGTCAGTAGTTGAGTTCAGTAGTCAGTAGTTCAGTCCAGTAGTTCAATTGCCATTTTAAAACCCACTTCCAGATTTACAAATAATGTAAAACTTTGCTTTAGATCTTTTCAAAGTTCTTAAAAAAGTATTCTTAAAAAGTCTGTTTCTTAAAACGTGTCCTTTTTCCATAATCTTATCCAATGTTAATGAAAAACCTTGTTTCAGATCTTTCCAAAGTCGATATCATTCCGCCACGTGGATCACTAATCGACATCACACCGATCGACATTTCGACGATCGGTAGAGAGAGTTCGGCTTGTGCTGGCGGTTGCGGAGGACATGGAACGTGTACATGTAAGTGAAAGTAAGGCTCTAGATTCGATCTGGGGATTTTCGTTGTAAATGTCAATAGGTTTCCATGGGAAAATGGGATATCTTAGCCAATTTCACTCTAATCTTTTTGTTCAATTGGGAAACACAATCAAGAATAAAGAATGTTAAAATTAAAAAGTAAATAGATAAAAAAGATTGCTGGAAGACTGTAAAATACTTGAAAGTTTTCAAATTCAGAAGAAAAATCAGTCTATGAAAGTCATTTACACAGTTATTGTTGTTTGTAAAACAAGATACATGACTGACTGACATCCCTGGCTTCTCTGACTTCCCTGACTTCCTTGACTTCCCTGACTTCTTTGAAAAGCTTTTTCTAGCGTATTTAGTTAATAAATGGCTTATTTTATGAGTTTTTGAAAGTAATTTTGTTAAACTGTTAAAACTTCTTTTATAGTATCGGGTTGTTTATGCAATGGTGGATATTCGGGAAAGGATTGTCAAGAGATTTTGCCGCCTGTTTGCACGATCGCTTGCGCACACGGGAGGTTGGTTTTTAGTTGAAATTCGCTGAAAATTCTTATAATAATATAAAAAGTAATATCTAAACTCAAAATTGGACACTATTTTTAACAAAAAATGCAATCCAGGTTTAAAGTTTTCTGTTGACTTTTGAGCTTTGAAACTTTGAAACATGATTCTACTCGCCGATATTCTCCTCGCCGACCCGAGTTGATAGCTATTTTACGGCTTCCAAAGTTTTCGGAGAAGTTCAACACTCGAATCCCCCACTAGATCTCATCGTCAGCTACATTTTCCGACCCCACATCGATAGGTTCTGATAAGCGGTTCTCGAGATTTCGAGGAATTTAGACGTAGCTTACGGTGCACTACTATTAGAGAGAATACGGTAAGCTATAAGCTAAGCTAAAAGCTATAAGCTATTGAATAGAAGCTATTGAATTGAAGCTATTTTATATAAACTAAGAGCCAAATTCCAAATCATTTCAGTAAATAACATTTAGGGCAACATTTTAAAACAAAATTTTAAAAGTTATGTTAAAAGTTTTACCGAAAGGAGATTCGCGAAATAAGTGAGATATCTGAAAAGCTTATATAATATTTGCCGTATTTTCTCTAATAGTAGTGCACCCGGCGGAGTTAACGACTATTTTACCGTTTCTAAATTTTCCCAGAAGCTCATCACTCTAATCCCCACTAGCCTGAGCCTCAGCCTAAGCCTCAGCCTAAGCCTCAGCCTAAGCCTAAGCCTAATAAGCCTAAGCCTGAGCCTGAGCCTGAGCCTGAGCCTAAGCCTAATCCTAAGCCTTTACGGTGCACTACTATTAGAGAGAATAAGGTAGTTAAAATTTGCGATGGATTTTAACTGTAACATTAAAAAGTGATAAATCAACAACGAATTTGGTTGTAAAAAAATGAGCTTTTCAATTGTTTCTGATTCAAATACAGTTGGTTGTTGATGTCTAGCTGTTTAGATTGGGTATGATTGACTTTGAAACATCAAAAAAAATCATCAAAACATCAAAAAATCATCAAAACATCAAAACCTCTTTCAGTTGTTCGGGTTCTCTGTGTTCTTGCTATGCCGGATGGATGGGAGTCGACTGTTCGCTGGGTTTGGAAAAGAAAAATCAATAATTAATCAATAAAAATCAATAATTAATCAATAAAAATCAATAATTAATCAATAAAAATCAATGATTCAACTGAATACTTATGGGTTGAATAAAGAAAAATTTGAATTCATAAGATTTGCGTCATGTTAAGCCAGGAAAAGCCAGGAAAACTGAATTTTTCTCTCTTTATATGCAAATTTAGAAGTATTTGGTTATAAATGGGGTTTGCTTTCAATTTAACGTTTGAAAGTTGTGATAAGTTGTGTAAGTAGTTGTGTAAATAAGCCTAATCTAATTCCAAATTCGTTTTATTGTCACTTCTATGTTGAAAAACGGGGATTTTAATGGTGGGATAGAACCAAAATCGTAAGCAGAAGTAGAGCTGAAAGAGTACACAAAATTCTTCGTGAACGAAATGAAAATCAGTCAAAGGAGAAAGATTATGCATTATTGCGTGGTAAAAGGCTAATTAATATCATTGTCCATAACCTATAAGTACCGCCATTTTCAATTGCGATGTAATTAATTTCAAAGAAAATCACTTGATTATTTGAAATTTGAAACAGAAACTTTTTAAAGCTGATTTTTTAAATAGCAGGAACGCAAAATCACAAGATTCTTTGCTAGATTTGTATGAAAGCACAACACTTGACGGCTAAACTGATGGGTTAACTGTCGGCTAAACTATCGGCTAAACTGTCGGCTAAACTATCGGCTAAACTGACGGTTTAACTGACAACTAAACTGTCGGCTAAACTGACAACTAAACTGACGGCTAAATTGCTAAACTGTCGGCTAAACTGTCGGCTAAACTGTCGGCTAAACTGTCGGCTAAACTGTCGGCTAAACTGTCGGCTAAACTGTCGGCTAAACTGTCGGCTAAACTGTCGGCTAAACTGTCGGCTAAACTGTCGGCTAAACTGACAACTAAACTGACGGCTAAACTGTCGGCTAAACTGTCGGCTAAACTGTCGGCTACACTGTCGGCTACACTGTCGGCTAAATTGCTAAACTGTCGGCTAAACTGTCCGCTAAACTGTCTTTCTAAAAATCTTTCTATCTAAATGTTCTAAAAGCTTTAAAAGCTTTAGGTTCACCTGAAAATCAATTTCAAAAGTTTGTCGCTTTTAAATTCTACATCTATCAGCTCATTTCTACGATTAAATTGCGAAACCATGATTTAATTCGTTTACATTTGAAACCTTTACTTTAAAATTTTTGAAAAAATTTCTTTTTACTGAATTTTCATAATCTTTAGTCAAATTTTGGCTAATTAGAGAGATATCCAGCAGTAAATTAACTTGTTTAAAAGAAAACTTTAACCCTAAAGCTTCAACCATAAACCCTTAAACCTTGAAAACGTTAAAATTTTGTGAAAACCTTTTAAAAAAAAGCCCTTATTTTCAGCGCTTTGTCCTGAGTTGCGCAATTGCTCGAATCACGGCTATTGCACGTCATCAGATCGATGCTTTTGCGATGCAGGATATACAGGTAAAAATATAAAATCTGATTCTTTTAAAACAAAATTGGAAATGAGTCGATTAAAACTTAAAAGTTTTCTTAAAGCCCGTGCAACTTGAAACTTTTAAGAAAAGTTTATTTTGTTTTTCTATCTATTAAAGCTAATTAAAGTTATTCAAAGCTTTTTCACTGCAAGTTTACTAGGTTACTAGGTTACTAGTAATTTAGTAAACTAGGTTACTAGTAATCTAGTAAACTAGGTTACTAGTGATTTAGTAATCTAGTTTAGTTAGCTAGAAATCTAGTTTACTAGATTACTAGTAACCTAGTAACCTAGTAACCTACTAACCTAGTAATCTAGTAAACTAGGTTACTAGATTACCTAGTAATCTAGTTTAGTAACCTAGTAATCTAGTAGTCTAGTTTACTAGATTATTAGTAACCTAGTATCCTAGTAATCTAATAATCTCGTTTACTAGATTACTAGTAGCCTAGTAACCTAGTAACTTACTAATCTAGTAACCTAGTAACTTAATAATCTAGTAACCTAGTAACCTAGCAACTTACTAATCTAGTAACCTAGTAACCTAGTAACCTAGTAACCTAGTAATCTAGTAATCTAGTAACCTAGTAACCTAGTAAACAGTTTATTAGGTCACTAGGTTACTAGTTACTAGTTTTGTTTGAAAAGAAAAAGAATTCATTTTAAACCAACTAAAAACCGTCTTCGATCGATATTTTTCTCGAAAGCTCTCAATTTAGACTAAAATTAAAGTTAAAGGTTTAGAAATTTGTATTTAAAGATTGAATTTCGTAATTTCACACTTTTATCTTGTTTTTCAAGCGCTTTTCCTTGGAAAAAGTGTAAATTTAAACAGTTTATTGTTTATTTAATGTAATGAATGAAAGAGGAAACAGAGTTTACACGAAATATAGTCTTGAAAGGGCTCAATTCTTGTAATAGTGACATAGTGTAATAGCTGTAATAGCTGTAATAGTGTAATAGCTATAATAGCTATAGCTGTAATAGCTGTAATAGCTGTAATAACTGTAATAGCTGTAATAGCTGTAATAGTGTAATAGCTGTAATAGCTATAGCTGTAAAAGCTGTAATAGTGTAATAGCTGTAATAGCTGTAATAGCTGTAATAGCTGTAATAGCTGTAATAGCTGTAATAGCAATAGCTGTAATAGTTGTAATAGCTGTAATAGCTATAGCTGTAATAGCTGTAATAGCTGTAATAACTGTAATAGCTGTAATAGCTGTAATAGTGTAATAGCTGTAATAGCTATAGCTGTAAAAGCTGTAATAGTGTAATAGCTGTAATAGTGTAATAGCTGTAATAGCTGTAATAGCTGTAATAGCTGTAATAGCTATAGCTGTAATAGTTGTAATAGCTGTAATAGCTGTAATAGCTATAGCTGTAATAGCTTTAATAGTGTAATAGCTAAAATAGTGAAATTTTAAAGTTTTTTGTTTTAAAAAACTATGAACTTTCGGAGAAATCGAAAAATTTCTGTGAAAACTGAGATTTCTAAAAGAAATGAGTATCTAAAGTAAGGAAAACTTGAAACTATGATTTCCTTTTTTATGCTCAATCTTTTCTGAACTTTAAAAAGTTAATCATTAAAGGAAAATTGACTTTTTGAAATGTTCAGGCCCTGATTGCTCAATCGAAATGTGCTCACCGAGTAACTGCTTTCACGGGAATTGCTCAGTATGTTTTAAAGAGTTAAAAATGAGGGTTTCGATGTTTCGATGTTAAAACTAACTTATAAATGGTTTTTTTAATCTTTGGAGTTCTTTGATACGATGTAGCCATTAAAAAAACAATACAAAAAACAATACAGGGTGCGTCATAATTATTGCAACAAGATACTCAAGGCATTGCACACCAAGAAGTTTCACTGGAAGAAGATTTTTAAACAGAAATAGCTTTATTTAACAGCAACAAATGAGGAAACAAGAGATCATTCGATATGACCGCCTTTTGCCTTGATAACAGCCCTTAATCGGTTCGGATATGCCTCCACTGCGGCCCGAATGTCATCTTGAGGAATCGCCTTCCATCCTTTGGTCAAAGACTTCTTCAAGGTCAAAGACTTCTTCAAAGAATCCAGACTTGTGTGTTTTCGAGAGCAGACATTAGCCTCTAAGATTGCCCAAATGGAAAAGTCCATCACATTGAGATCCGGTGAGTTTGGAGGCCATTCATCCTTGGTGATCACTGAGGGAAAGTTGGCCACACACCAGTCCTGAACCGTCTTTTTCGTGTGAGCGGGAGCTCCATCTTGCATGAAGGTCCAATTTTGATTGTTATTGGCTTTACACGCCCATGACATCACATTCTTGACATCACAAACGGTCTCTGAACTCTTGTTGCAATAATTATGACGCACCCTGTACAACAAAACAATTCAAACAACAAAAATCTATTTTAGACAGGGAATTGCGCTTGCGACGAGGGTTGGCACGGGAAGCGCTGCCGGACGCCGATTTGCTCGACGCGTTGCTCGTTTAACGGGATTTGCTCAAGTCCCGAGCAGTGTCAATGTTTTATCGATTATCGAGGTAAAATGAAGCTAATGATTCGTTTAAAAGCTATGTTCTGGGTTTAAAAGAATGAAAAATGCCCTTTTATTGGCATTCGATGAATTTAAATGATCTGAATTTATTTGAAACATTCTTTTTTTGCCTTTCCTTTTGCTATTTTCAAATTTTATTAACCGTTAAACTTTAAACAGACTGAATTTAAAGTTATTTAAAGTTATTTAAAGTTATTTAAAGTCATTTAAAGTCCATTCAAGTGATTTCAAGTGATTTCAAGTCATTTAAAGATATTTAAAGTCATTTAAAGTCATTTAAAGTCATTTAAAGACATTTAAAGTTATTTAAAGTCATTTAAAGACATTTAAAGTTATTTAAACTTATTTAAAGTTAAGATCAAAGTTATTTAAATTGAAAGATGAAGAATCTGAATCCGTTATCATTTTTTGAGGAACTTTAATTCCCGAGCCATGACAAAACACTTTAAAATCTGCGTAATTAAACTAAATTAAAGAGAAAAAGGTGAAACTTGGCCGATTACTCTGATTGCTCGATAGAAATCAACATTTCCAGCTTGTAGACAAAATTTCAGAGTAATCGGCCAAGAAACGGCTAAGAAAACAATGGTGGAATTAGGTTCGCGTTGGAAATTAGATCGTCTAGTGAGCTGAAAGTGTTAATTAATGTCATTAGCTTGTTAATCATTAGCTGGATAGTCTAAAAAACCGAAAATTTCTAGGCCCAACTTGCAATGAATGCTCAACGGAGGACTGTGTCGGCTGTGATCCGCCGTGTGAACACGGGGAATGCGATCCAATTGCAAAGTGAGGGATTTATTGTAAAAACGAAAAGACTATTTCAAATTCTATTCAATTGCATCAAGTAAATAAATTGATTCGGCAAATTAAAGTTAAAGATTAGTTAAGATTAGTTAAGATTGGTTAAAGATTGGTTAAAGATTGGTTAAAGATTGGCTAAAGATTGGTTAAGTTTAGTCAAAATTAGTCAAAATCAGTTAAAGATTAGTTAAGATGAGTCAAAGATCAGTCAAAATTAGTTAAAGAGATTTTAGGCATTTAAAGGCTCAATTTGAAACACGAATTTTTCACCGCGATCTTTTCACCGCGAAATGCGATAATAAGATAAAAAGAGCTAAAAAAAACTAGTTTTCACTCTTTAAACCTTTGAGTCATTTTTTGAAATCATTAAGTTTCGAAATTATATATGTTGTGTCCGATTTAGATTCAATCTAAATCTTATATAGATTGAACAATAATATAAACATGCTTAATATATATTCTTAAGCGTTTTCTGTTTTCAATCTAAATCGGACACAACATATATATGCTTTATTCAGTTAAATAGCGACAAAACAAGATCACAATAATCACCCAGGACACCACTCAAAACACACCCAAAAGATAAAAAGATACCTCAAGAAAGAATAGCAGAGAAAGAATGACAGAGAAAGAATCACGGAGGAAGAATGACAGAGAAAGAATCACAGAGAAAGAGACACAGAGAAAGAGACACAGAGAAAGAGACACAGAGAAAGAGACACAGAGAAAGAATCACAGATAAAGAAGCACAGATTATCAACCTAAAAGCTCAATCTCGTCAACTAATTCTTTTAAGTCAAAAAACATTCTAGAACTTGCATCTGTCACGATGGATGGAAAGGGATCAGCTGTGGTGATTGCCCGTCAAATTTGTGCCAATCGAAGCCATCAATTGCCTATATTCTTCCACAAACGGTCGATGTTGAGGAAACGAATTTGATTGTCAGCGTTCATGGGAAAAATTTCCCCAGGTAACTGAAAGTTTCAGTTCGAAACAACTTGTCAAAACAAAATTTGCATATTGCGATTAGCATTTGGAATCTGCGAAAGTGTTGACTAGGCACATGCGAAAGTACTTTTTTCATCTATTAACCTGTCCAGAAAGTCTTTTCCTTCATTTGTCGTTCTTTCGTTTACCAAACCAACAAATACACCAATTGAAATACGGACTTTTGGATGCTCAAACAAAATTTGCAAGTTGCGATTAGCATCTAGAATCTGTGAAAGTTTTTTTTTGTAACCCCGCTGAGCTTGTCAAAATCATTTTGAGCTTAAAACTTGAGAAAAATCATATAAATTGATAAAATTGTGCTTATTATTTAGATCATCAAGTAAAAAAGTAAATGTTTCAAATAAAGGTCATAATCAAATCAAATTTTCGGTTTAGCTTTTTAAGTTTTTCAAGTTATCGTAATTAAATCTTCACTTCTCTAAGCTATTTTTATAAACTTGAAACATGGAAATTTTAAATTCTAGAAAGTTTTATTTGAATGTTTCAAAATGACAATAGTAATTAAATTTTTATCAATTTTTGAAATCTTGCTTTATCATTGAATTTTAGCATGTTTTATCTTAGTTTTGCTTTAGTTTCGAATAAATTTGAATAGATTTAAGCTCGAATTCATAAATATAAACGCAAAAGTCATTGATACTATTTTCCTGTCCAGAAATCTTTTTTTTTTTGGTTAACTAGGCACATGCGAAAGTATTTTTTCCACTATTAACCTGTCCAGAAAGTCTTTTCCTCCATTTGTCGTTCTTTCGTTTAAAACCAACAAATACACCAATTGAAACACGGTTTGTTTAAGGCTTTTTCGCTCATCCTCAAACTTTAGAACCATTAAAACATTTACTTTCACTTTTTTTAGAGCTTCCGAGTATTCCTGTATATTCGGCACGTTAAAAGCTCCGGGAAAATTCGTTTCAAGTTCACTCGTCAGATGCGCCATTCCAGAGGGTATCTTTCTTTGATAAACTTTGATAAAGTTCTAACAAAGTTCTCAATATTCCTTTGACAAATCGAATGCTCAATAAACAAATCTAATTTAGTGCATTTACACCAAATCAAAAGCCAATCATGCTTTTTAAAGTCATTCAGCTTGAAACTTTGCTGAATTTTTTTGCAGAAATTCTTTCAATCAATTTTTTCAATAAATTTTTCAATCGATCTATTCAAGTGATTCTTTGCTGAAAAATGATGAGCTGACTATTTTCCGTTTTTAGAGATGTCAATCGGTCGTCACGTGTTCACTCTTGAACCCGAAACAACTCATGAACACATTGAGAGTGTCGATGAGAAACCGATACATTTCACGTTTACAGAAAGAATCTCGCAAAAATGCCAAGGTAAACGTTTGAAAATATCCAATTAGAGAGCTACTTTCTTCTTTAAACTTTACTTTATTTGAAACAAGTTTTTTTGAAAACTGAAAATAGTTTTTAATTGGTGCCAAATCTCGCAAAAATCTCAAAGTAAACGACTTTAAAACATTCGATTTTACTTCCTTCTATTTCCTTCTATTTCAAACTTTGTTTAGCTGAAACTAGGCTTTTTAATGAGCCAGTTTGATACTCTAATGCATCTTCTTTACTAATAATCTTTGAATAACAAGCTAATAATGTTTATAAGCAAAGTAATAAGTAAAAATTGAATAAAACTCAATTCTTTCTTTGAACTCTAACTTATTTGAAACATAATTTTTCAAAAAAGGTCTGTATTTTGTTTTTACCGTATTTTCTCTAATAGTAGTGCACCTTGAGCGCTGCCTAAATTGCTCGAAATCTCGGGAACCGTTTATCAGAACCTATTGATGTGGGGTCGGAAAATGTAGCTGATGATGAGATCTAGTGGGGGAGTAGAGTGTTGAGCTTCTCCGAAAACTTTGGAAACCGTAAAATAGTCACTAACTCGGCTCGACCGGGTGCACTACTATTGGAGAGAATACGGTAATTGTCAGAACTTTTAGGAAACACTTACCTTTGTCTAATAATGTTTTTCCTAGGCCAAGTAACTCCGCGTCGCCTAAATTACTCGAAATCTCGGGAACCGTTTATCAGAACCTATCGGTGTGGGGTCGGAAAATGTAGCTGATGATGAGATCTAGTGGGGGATTCGAGTGTTGAGCTTCTGGGAAAACTTTGAAAGCCGTAAAATAGTCATCAACTCAGTTCGCCATGGTGCACTACTATTAGAGAAAATACGGTAAATAGCTGTAGATTATAAATCGTATAAAAAAATTAAAAAAGATAATGTTATTAAAGATTGCTTTTTTCTTAAACCCTAATACATTTGAAACTAATATTTTTTTTAAATCAAGCATCTTTTTACCAGCAAAAGTATTAATAATCTTCTTTTAAAGGCTCGGATCTTGGTCCGTTGTGCGTTTGTGCAATTGGAAAATCCGGTGCAGACTGTGCAATCATTGAGTTGATTGCGCAAATCGATCGACAATTCATTACGAATCAAAGGGCAAACGAGGGAGCCGAGGGGACACCGTATCTTGTGAAATTGCCGCTATTTGTGAGTTAAACAAGTGCACTAAATCTAAATACTCAATCTTGTAAGCGTCCACTTTCTGGTGCAATTAATTCTCTATTTTTCTTTATCAGGCTATCCAGATTGTTATATCAAACTAAGCACAAGTTTCTTCTAACTTTTTCAATCACAATTGATACAAATACTTTTTTGCCAACTAGCAGCTCGTTTTTAGAACTTTCAATATTTTCGGCTTTTCATAAAAGCTGTTTGACTACAAACTACAAAAAAACCAATTACCGAATAAACAATGAAGAATTGAGTGCACCAGAAAGGCTGTGTTTGCGTTTTTGAACACAATAAACGAGTCTTTTGATTTGAAAAACACTAGTTTCAAAGTTATTCAAATTGAAAGTAAAAAAAACAAACAACGGACTCGTAGATCTTTCAAAAAAAGAACTTTTCAATAAATTTCCCAAAAAGCTCTCTTAAAATTTTTCAACTTCATTTTCCAGGAAAACTCAGTGATTCAAGTCTCCTCAACAGCTCCTGGGCTTCAATTCGACTCATCAAAGAATCTAATCGTTTGGGAAAATCCGATTGGTTTGTTTAAAGAAATAAGAATGAAATCGTAAACAAAGTTTCCTCATAATTTGCTTTGTAATTTGAAATTCATCATTATTCATCATCATTCATCATTTTTTTCAGGTTCCACAAAGCCCTACAACATTTCATTGAGTATTTGGAATGCGAATGGACCGAATGAGATCGATTGGCCGTTGAAGTAAGGGGATTGGGTAGAAATGATTGAAAGTTGAAAGAGAATGATTGAAAATGAAAGAGAATGATTGAAAAAAGCTAGGCTAAAGTAAAGCTAGGCTAAAATAAAGCTAGGCTAGGATAAAGCTAGGTTAGGGCAAAGCTAGGCTAGGCCAAAGCTAGGCCAAAGCTAGGCTAAAGCTAGGCTAAAGTAAAGCTAAGCTTGAAATTCAAAAACTAAACTTTAAACCTAATCTCAAATTTCAATTTCAATTCAATTTCAATCTCAATTTCAATTAAAAAGCATATTCTTCTTTTTTTTTGCAATTTCAGAGTCCCACCGAGTTACAAGGCAAAAATCGAGGGGTTTGAAATGGTGGGAAGCACACAGAAAAGAAGAATTTTTGGACGAATCGACAAGGTGAGAGAAATTTTAAGCTTTTTTAAGGTTTTTAAGTTTTCTTTTTTCAAAAGTTACTTCAAAACAAACAAAACGAAAAATTCCGCTTAAAAAGAGTGAAATAAAGCAAAAAAAAAAAGTCACTTTCGATTTGATCATTTATAACAAAGCTTGATTTTGGGGTAGGCTAGTTTCCGTAACTTTTTTTGCGCAACAGGGTCATTTGCGCAACTCGCTATAACTTTCTTCTAAATCGGCTAATCTTTATGATTTTGGTGTCATTTTGTTGCACTTATTGAGATCTACGAAATGACATCAAATTCATAAAGATTGGCCGACTTAGAAGAAAGTTATGGAGAGTTGCGCAAATGAAATGTCCGAAAGCCTACCCCATCAAATTATCTTGAATAATCGCAAAAGAGATTGCAAACGAGAACTCTAGAACCTTTATAAACAAAATTTTAGGGTTTTCTAAGAGAAAAGAGGGGTAGGCTAACCAAAAGTGTGGTTTTCCAAATATCATAGCTTAATATTTTGGGGGTGATTACTTTCCGCCATTTTATTTGCGCAACTCTCCATAACTTTCTTCTAAGCTGGTCAATCTTTATGATTTTGATGTCATTTTGTTGCACTTATTGAGATCTAGAAAATGACATCAAATTCATAAAGATTGGCCGACTTAGAAGAAAGTTATGGCGAGTTGCGCAAAAGACCTAGTTGGGCAAATGATCCAGTTACGCAAAAAAGGCGGAAGTTAGCCTACCCCTTGATTTTTTCGATTGATAAAAGAAAAGAAAACTAAAAATCCTTTTTTTTTGATAAAAACTACTAATAAACTAGATAAAATAAAAGATAAATAAAATTGAACAGAAAAAGTGGCAGAAATTACACGCATTGTCTAATGAAACCTATTTTTAATACACAGAAATTAGGTCAATAAAAGATAAAAAGGAAGATACTTTATTCAACATGAATAAGTGGATACAACACAACGGAGGACACAATTTTTACCCCTACAATGTAGTTAAGAAAAAACCCAACTTAATGGGAAAAAGAACACACTTGATTTCGCCAGCGGGATCGAACCCTGGATCTTCCGATTAGGAGAGAAGATTCCTAACCAGTCGGCCAACTGGTCTTAATAAATTTAAAATATCAAATCAAATGCCAAGACATTGAAGAATTGTAAAAAAGAAAGAAAAGAAAAAATTAAAGAAAAGAAAAAAATTAAAGAATTAGTGAAATTGATTAAAAAATATAGCTAATATCAAACTTTAACTTGAAACATTAAAATTACAAAGAATCTAAAACCACTTAGCCTTTGCCAAATCGTCCGGTAATACTTCAAATTCGCCGAGATGGAGCGAAAAGCGAGGAGTTTCTTGTTGAAACCGACGAAAATGGTTTTTTTTCATCAGAATACACGCCTGACTGGAATTTTGGAGGGAAATATCATGTGGTGAGTTGAGTCAAAGGTTAAATCCAGAGCCTAGGCTCAAATAGGTCTTGACTTGAAACATAGTTTTGATTTTGATCGATCAAATAGAAGGAGTCAAACATTAAATCCAGAGCCTAGACTCAAATAGGTCTTGACGTGAAACATGGTTTTGAATTTGATCGACCAAATGGAATGAGCCAAAGATTAAATCCAGAGCCTGGGTCCAAATAGACCTTGACTTGAAACATGGTTTTGAATTTGATCGATCAAATGGAAGGAGCCAAAGATTAAATCCAGAGCCTGGGTCCAAATAGACCTTGACTTGAAACATGGTTTTGAATTTGATCGATCAAATAGAAGGAGTCAAACATTAAATCCAGAGCCTGGGTCCAAATAGACCTTGACGTGAAACATGGTTTTGAATTTGATCGATCAAATGGAAGGAGCCAAAGATTAAATCCAGAGCCTAGACTCAAATAGCGCTTGACTTGAAACATGGTTTTGATTTTGATTGAGCAAATCAACGTTTAGCGTAAATAAATGTTTATTAAGCTATTTTATAAGCTTATTTATTAAGCTATTTCATTTAAAAAATTGATAGAAGTCGTGACGAAATATCAAAGTTTATCAGCTCAACTTTTAAACGATTACTTTCAGTCAGCCAGTCATCCGGGTGAGGTGAAATCGGTGGATGATCATTTCGAGATCTCTTGGTCAACTCCAAACATTGAAGTGACATACAATGAACGGTATGGAAACATTTTTACGCGAGAAAAGTGCTAGAAAATTTCCAGGATGATAGGGATAAAGTTTAAACAATGAAGTGCTACTCACTTTCCATCTTTTCACAATAGTATTGTTTCAATTTTGTCCTCATCAATCAGGAAATTGCTTTTTTTAGTGATGATTGTTTGGTGTTACGAAAGTTCACCTAGAATCTAACGTTTTAAAGCATTTTAAAGCATTTTAAAGCACTTTAAAACATTTTAAACCATTTTAAAGCATCTTAAAACATTTTAAAGCATTTTAAAACATTTTAAAGCACTTTAAAGCATTTTAAAACATTTTAAAGCATTTTAAACCATTTAAAAGCACTTTAAAGCCAATTTCTAGCCCAACACGCGATCAGCTCAAATCGGGAGTTGAATATTTGGTGGAGAATGTGGGCGAGGTGGCGATTTCGGGTTGGAAATTGCAGATTGCCAGCGGAAATTTGTCAATAGATAGCGTTGAACAGGTGTGAGATTGTGTAAATGAAAAGTTTCAATTAATCGAAAAACATTTTCAGTCAACGAAAAGCCTGGAATTTCGTGAAGGTGCTCGAGTGTTGGTGAAATATTCAATGGTTGAGGATTTCTCCGGCCCATTCACCGTTTTGCTGGTGACGGATTCGGGACTGACAAGGGTGATCAGGTAATGGAAAGTAATTCAAGAAAGTAATTGAGGAAAGTAATTCAGAAAAGTAATCCATTATTTAAAAAGGCAAAAAGAAGAGAAGAAAATAAGACAAAATTTCTAAAATTTCAAGTTTTTCTACGATTTTCAATGCCTAAACTTAGCTGAATAGATGGGAATGGGTGGGTTTTAAACAAAACGCATTAATCGCGCATCAATCGCGTATTAATCAAGCATCAATCGCGAATTACTCGCGTATTAATCAACGATTAATCGTTCAACTTTAATCGCGGAGAACAAAGATCGCAGAGATCGCGGAGATCGCGAAGAACAAACACACACACACACACACACGTCATTAGCCAGAGATTCACTGACTTTGGTCACTTGGTGACTGCGCGACTCGTGCCGAAGACAGCTTCAGAGTTCAGAGTTTGGCTGGGGCGGTACATCTGTCAAATCGTAACGCAGGTGTCCCAAGGCCGGCTCAGAGAGGACAGAAATCTCTCGTAGAGTAAAAGGGCAAAAGCTAACTTGATCTTGATTTTCAGTACGAATACAGACCGCGAAAGCGTGGCCTATCGATCCTTTTGAATAAGAAAGTTTCTTGCAAGAGGTGTCAGAAAAGTTACCACTTCCAACTTTGAAACCACCATTTGGAAATCAATCATCTTCATTTTGAGAAACCCAGCATGATTCCATTAAAGGCAAAGATCGCTAAGAAGTCTACCAAAATTTGAAACAAAGACTTTTTAAACGATACTTTCAAACTTTTCAAACTACCTTAGCCAGTCAAGCTGAATCTTCTCATCAATTTTCATTCAATCACCCCAATTTTTGTCTCATTCGATGCGGAATTACAAGGCTCAGTCAATGATACAAAAATTGGGTTGATCAAATGAAAACTTGTGGTAAGAGGATTACAGCTTTTCTAAAATCGATGCCTTTTTAGCAAGTCAATTCCTCATTATCGTAATTCTATTTATTTTAAAATCTAATTGATAAGCTCTTTCAGTAAATTCGCTTTGAAATCATTTTTCTAATCATTGTTCTAATCATTTTTCTATGATTTTCAGACAAGAAGTCCCGATGAGGCGCGTTTTGAAATCGCTTTCCTCTACTCCAAAATCTCTGATCGTTCCACTAATCTTCAACGCTTTACCCACCGTACAAGTAACTTTTAAAGTAGATAAATAAAAAGATAATTTATCTTGAATTATATTTTAATTTAGAATAACTTAGTGTTCTTGAATTAAACTTATTTCTCTATTGAATATTGAATTGAATCAGAATTTGAACACCCAGAACAACATGATTCATGCAAAAAGCCAACCAAACCAAGATCGACATGCTGGAGATCCCAAATCCGTCATGGTCTTTGTCGGAAATGAATTAAACTTATTTCTCTATTGAATATTGAATCTCCTTTAAAAATCAAAAACATCTAAATTTCGAGAAAATAGATTGAAACTGAGTTTTTTTTTACTTAAAGCTTGAGCTTTTTTTTACTTTACTCTACTTAAAGCTTGAGCTGATAATTGTAGACATTAAAATTCTATGGAGAAGTTGAAAATAGCAAACTTAAACCCTAATTTATATAAAAAACTTTTTAATGTTACAGTTAAAATCCATCTCAAATTTTAACTACCTTATTCTCTCTAATAGTAGTGCACCCTGAGCGTCGCCTAAATTGCTCGAAATCTCGAGAACCGCTTATCAGAACCTATTGATGTGGGGTCGGAAAATGTAGCTGACGATGAGATCTAGTGGGGGAGTAGAGTGTTGAGCTTCTCCGAAAACTTTGGAAACCGTAAAATAGTTATGAACTCGACTCGACCGGGTGCACTACTATTAGAGAAAATACGGTATTCATTCGAAGTGAAACATCAACTTTGTCAGGGTTTTTGGAAACAAAACAAAAACTTTTCAAATTGCACCCCAATTTCTTTCAACTATTGTCAAAAAACGTTTTAAAAGTCGAAAAATCGCAGATACATTTGGACACAACGGACACCAAGATCTCATCGCCACTTCAACTCGGCTTCGAGACTCGACCGGAGCCATTTTATCTTATTGGATCCGATCCACCATTGAGGTGAGTAATTTTCATATTTTGTAAATGAATTATCAAATTTCAAATGTCAATATAAATTCTGTTATTTGTTTTTTAGTGATTTTGTCTTGTCGAAGAAAATAAGCTAGTTTCAAATTTTGGTAGATAATAACCAAGTCCGGAAAGGAGTAAGAGACGGGAAAAGTGTTCATCATCAAGCAAAATTTGAACACTCAGAGCAACAGGATTTATGCAAAAAGCCAATCAAAGCAAGATCGACATGCTGGAGATCCTAAATCCGTCATGGTCTTCGCAGGAATCATTTCTGATGAGAAGACTCCACTAATTTCTCTTCAACAGGGCGAAGACGCCACTAATTTCTCTTAAACTCAAATAATTATCTGGATATTTTAAAGCAGGAAGTGTTGCCTTGGGCACAAAACCACTTTGGAAACAAAATTGGAAAGGATGGATGCCTTCTCATAAAGCCTGAATTGTCCAAGACTAGTGTGAACGAAAATTCCCGGATTTCATTAGCTTTAAGCAGTGGACATCATCAAGCCCCGATTTAAATCCAATGGATTACTCAGTCTGGAGTGTTCACGAAGTAAAGCACATTGTGCCTACTCAAAAGCACATTCAACCATTTTTTGATTATATAGATGCTTTATTAAATAGCGACAAAACAAAACCACAATAATGACCCGGGACACCACTCAAAACACACCCAAAAGATAAATAGATACCTCAAGAAAGAATCACAGAGCAGTCAAATCAATTGCCGAAATCAATTGCCGTCAATCAATTACCAAATCGATACCCAAGTATAGGTAGCCAAATTCTCCCTTGAAGCCAAATTCTCCCAGTTCTTGGCTTATCTTGAAGACTCTTCCCAGCAGACTGAGAAGGAAGAGGGGAATTCTCAGCACCACCAACCTTAGTAGTCTTGTCTTGTGATTTAGTGTTAAAATCGGAACTAGATGGATAAAGGTTTAGGACAAGATTATATAATAGAAGGACAAGCTGGGAACGGAAAGTGTTTTCTGGAGAGTCGGAGTGATTTTGTTGTTGATTTTGCTGTTGATTTTGTTGTTATCTGAAGTTTTTTTTGTCGTTATCTCTCTTTTGCCCTTTCCTTAACTACAGATCGAATCCAAGACTAAAAGACTAAAAGACAAGACTAAAAGACAAAACTAAAAGACAAGACTAAAAGAGATAAGACTAAAATATCCAATAGTAAGCATTAAAGAGATCAAAAGCTCTATCGCTTTTGTTTGCATTTACATCCATTTTTTTTTTGCTTGATCTTTTTTTCGTTTTAAACGTTTGCATAAATTAGCATAAATCTGCAACGTTTGCATAAATCTAATAAAATTCAATTATCATTGCTATAAGTGATTTTTGCATTTTCTGCAAGTGTAATTTTTCAGCAATTACGCTGAATACTCGGCAAATGATCGTGGTTTAACGCTTTTTCTCGGCGGGACACCGGACGGGAGTCGAGTCAATGGAACGATTCACATATTGTACCGGGGTGATGTGAGTTGATTTTAGACTTTAAAATAGTTAAAAACCTTCGAATTTTGTCCAATTTTTTACACAAAACAAGGACTTGGCTATTGGGAGAATTTGCACAGGGATATTTGCACAGGAAAACACTAAATCTCAACTTAGACTCGTTATTTTAGTTATTTGAGTCGATGCCATTAAAGTTATTTGAGTCGATGCCATTAAAGTTATTTTAGTCGATGCCATTAAAGTTATTTTAGTTATTTGAGTCGATGCCGTTAAAGTTATTTGAGTCGATGCCATTAAAGTTATTTGAGTCGATGCCATTAAAGTTATTTTAGTCGATGCCATTAAAGTTATTTTAGTCGATGCGTTACCCCCGATTTTGAAACCTTTTATTTTTAAAACCTCTTTTTACCTAGAAAAATCGTTTTACAAAAAACCTTTTTTTAATTTTTATTATTTTTCGACTAATCTAATCAAATCAAATCAAATCAAATACTATTGGGTTGGGGAGAATGAGTCGGCGCCAAACTTTAAAGGGACTTTTTGCACACATAAAGCCTTCTTTAAACATACGTTTGGTTTCATCAAAAGGATCCACTATTTCTCTACAAAATCACTTTTGAGAGATTCCACAAAGCTTTTCTTTCGTGGAGTTTATGAACTTCGAAACGCAGCTGGTTAAAATGGCAAAGACTCCGACTCATCATTTGAACAGTTTCTTTCACACAAACCTTCTTTGGTGTTTATATAAAAAAGATAGAGCACATTCAATTACTTAAGTTGCCAAATTTGCAGGAAGATCCCACCAATGGTTTTTTCTAGATCACAGTTTGTAGTTTTTGTGAAAAAATGGCTTTTTCTTGAGCGGAGGCGCTGTTTGAATTTTCTTTTAAATGTCATTTTGTAGAGAATTAGTTAACCATTCTACTGATATCAAACGCATATTATTTGACGAAGTCGAATAGAAGTTTTAGACATTTTTTTGATTTTCGGCGCCGACTCATTCTCCCCAACCCAATAGTTTTGTTTCAATTTAGTACCTTAACGAAAGATTTATCTCAAAACTATCAAAACTATCGCTTTTTTTATTTCTAAATCAAATTTCAAACAATCTTTTATCAAAAGATTACAAAAGAAATGCATTTTTTTTATGTGATTATTTCTATATTTCTATATTTCTATTTTTCTCAGATAATTCTCCGAATTCCGTACACTTTCTCAAGGCGAGAGACCGATCTGTTCCCGTTAGCGATATGCTTACAAGTTTGTTGATTGTAGATTGTAAATTGTATTAGGTTGTTCGGATATAAACGAGCTACTGCAAAAAAAGATAAAACCAAATGAAACAAGCCGTTGATTACGAGCAGCAAAACGAAATATGCATTCCGTTGAAACATCGATTCCGGGAATTCATCTAAATACACTAAAAGTCAAAAATTCGTTTGCTTTTGGCTGAAAAATTTCAACTTTACTTAGCTATTTATTGAATTAATTTGCTACTAAACTACAAAAATCCTTTTTTTTTTTCTAGGACGAGCAGTACTCGGAGTTCTCTTCAATCAAAACGAATGCCCAAATCGAGTTGGTGAACTCGACGAATGGAGTCGTGATGAATCCGAGAAGTGCCATTGTCAATGGTTTGTTCAGTCATTGTAAATTATAAAACAAGCTTGCCTGGATTGTTGTTCTGGATTGTTGCCTGGGGCCTTGCTGTTTCGTTAACAAAAGTCCTGACTGAACACACTCCTGAGAATCTCGTGAGATCACTAGCGACGCAGCTTCTGAAGATGACGATGACGAAGACTTCGGACGAGAAAGGCTTGATGTTGGCCGGCGTTGGCTGCGGCGTTGGCTGCGGCGTTGGCTGCGGCGTTGGCTGCGGCGTTGTCCTTTTGTTGGCTACGGCGTTGGCTGCGGCGTTGTCCTTTTATTGGCGCGGGATACGGTAGTTTCCGCCAAATGGCGTGAAGACGTCTGGAAAGGCGTGGTGTACGGTATGCATCGAATGGCATTCGTCGTCAGAATTCGGGTATATAAAGGGGAAAATTCTCTTCTCACTATCGACAAGAGGCTGGAATTACGGGGAGTTAATCGTATCGTTAATAAGTTAATCGTATCGAATTTTTACAAACTTTAAAAGATTTACAAACCAATTTTCAGCTTGATGTTTCAAAAAATCTTCAAGTTTCAAATGATTGGGGGAATCATTTGAATTCTTCCAATCATTTGAATAAAATTTTGAAGCCATCAAACTTCTCTTCAGGTTCCCCGCAAATCTTTACGATTTATCCAGGATTTTATCAATTGACTGTTACCGCCGACCAACATCAAACATACGAAGAAGCTATTTATGTAAGAGAGCTTTGTTAAAGAGAGTTTTATTAAAGAGAGTTTTATTAAAGAGAGTTTTACTAAAGAGAGTTTTATTAAAGAGAGTTTTATTAAAGAGAGTTTATTAAAGAGAGTTTCTTAAAGAGAGTTTTATTAAAGAGAGCTTTATTAAAGGGAGCTTTATTAAAGAGAGCTTTGTTAAAGAGAGCTTTATTAAAGAGAGCTTTATTAAAGAGAGCTTTATTAAGAGAGCTTTATTAAAGAGAGCTTTATTAAAGAGAGTTTTATTAAAGAGAGCTTTATTAAAGAGAGTTTTATTAAAAAGAGTTTTACAAATTTTTTAATTTACAAATTCTAAATGTATTTTTTTAAAAAACAGTGCTTAAAATCATTTCTCAATCAAAAGAAAAGCTTTTACTGCAGGTCACTCCATCAAATGAGTCATTTTGTGTCCGTTTGGCTACAAAAGTCACAAATATTATGCCAATTTTCAACGGAAAGCACTTTTCAATTGATAAAATTGCGAAAAATCAGGTAAATTGAAAAAGAAAATGGTAAAATGAAAGGTAAAAATAGATCTTTTGATAGATTTGAGTTGATGAATTTATTAATTTGATAAATTGATGAATTAAATACAAAATTTTCACCTAAATCTGTTTATTTTTGAAACTCGAATTTCTAAATCGTTAAAGTTTTCAATTAAAGCTCAAATTTTCAATTAAAGCTCAAACAGAGCTCAAATTTTCTAAAATTATAAAAATAGATAGAAATTAGAATAGAATTAGAATAGAATTGGAATAGAATTGGAATAGAATTCGATTAGGATTCGATTAGGATTCGATTAGGATTCGATTAGGATTCGATTAGAATTAGAATAGAATTAGAATAGAATTAGAATAGAATTGGAATAGAATTGGAATAGAATTAGAATAGAATTAGAATAGAATTGGAATAGAATTAGAATAGAATTGGAATAGAATTGGAATAGAATTAGAATAGAATTAGAATAGAATTGGAATAGAATTGGAATAGAATTGGAATAGAATTCGATTAGGATTAGATGAGAATTAGAATAGAATTAGAATAGAATTAGAATAGAATTCGATTAGAATTAGATTAGAATTCGATTAGAATTAGAATAGAATTAGAATAGAGTTAGAATAGAATTGGAATAGAATTGGAATAGAATTCGATTAGGATTAGATTAGAATTAGAATAGAATTAGAATAGAATTAGAATAGAATTCGATTAGAATTCGATTAGAATTCGATTAGAATTCAATTAGAATTAGAATAGAATTCGATTAGAATTCGATTAGAATTAGAATAGAATCCGCTTAGGATTCGATTAGAATTCGATTAGAATTCGATTCGAAATCTTCACAAATGAAAGACAAAATTTTCAGATTTCCCCAATTCCACAAGTCATTCTTTTTCCATCATTCATCACCGAGAAAACTGAAGAAATCGAAGCGTTTATCGACGGGCATTTAACAAAAGAAACATACGTCTATTTTGATGAGATAAAAACTCAATTTTTAAACATTGTAAGTTAGAAATTGATTTACAAAAAGAAATAACAACCATCTTTTAAAAGAAAAATCAAATTCTCCCAGAAAAACATTAGTTAAAAGAGTTAGAAGAGAATTTTCTAAAGGTAAGTTTCAATTTGGGGGATGTTTCTCGACAAAATAAGAAACTAATGCCAATCTTTCCTAAATCTAACATAAATTTAAAATTTTACTTATCAAATGCTCTAGAAAGCTTCAACGTCAGCGATTTCCGTTGGTGATTCAGCAAAAATACAAGTGGATGCTCATTCTTTGAACGATTTATTCAAGTGAGCTCTTTTTGAATGGGATTTTGGCTACTTTGCGCGGTGGCTACTTTGCGCGGTGGCTACTTTGCGCGGTGGCTACTTTGCGCGGTGGCTACTTTGCGCGGTGGCTACTTTGCGCGGTGGCTACTTTGCGCCAAATTTTTTTTGCGTAACTGGATCATTTGCCCAACTGGGTCTTTTGCGCAACTCGCCATAACTTGAATGAAAAAGGGATTACGGTGGAAAGAGAAAGGGGACACGGTTTAGTCGAGACAAATTATTCAAGATAATTTGATGGGGTAGGCTTTCGGACATTTTATTTGCGCAACTCGCCATAACTTTCTTCTAAGTGGGCCAATCTTTATGAATTTGATGTCATTTTGTAGATCGCAATAAGTGCAACAAAATGAAACCAAAACAACCAAAACATCATAAAGATTGGCCCACTTAGAAGAAAGTTATGGCGTTATGGATTCGGGGGTGGCTACTTTGCGCCAAATTTTTTCCGTAACTGGGTCTTTTGCGCAACTCGTCATAACTTTCTTCTAAATCGGTCAATCTTTATGATGTTGGTGTCATTTTGTTGCACTTATTGCTATCTACAAAATGACATCAAAATCATAAAGATTGGTCCACTTAGAAAAAAGTTATGGCGAGTCGTGCAAAAGATCTGGCGCAAACTAGCGATCCCCGACAAAGAATCAATAAAACTGAATAGCTTTTCTCTTGAGATCTCTTGAGAAAGCAAAAAAAAGTATTCAGTTTGTTAGCTGAATCTTTTCCTTTTTGTAGTTCATATTAAAAAGTTCCCTTTTCATTTTGAGCAAAATTCTTTGAAACTCGCTTTCTTCAAAGAAGATCTAGATCTTTTTATCTCCAAAGGCTTCTAGTTAAGTAAAAGTTTAGCACAGTCTATTTTCAGCTATGAAAATGTTATTCAGAGATCAATGCGATGCAATCATTTTCAATGTTCCTTATCACATTTCGAAGAACAATTCAGTCGATATTCTTCACAATACACAAGTGATCGTGGGAAAAACGGAGCAAGCGAGAAAGCTTTGCGATGGTTTGTTTACTAGTTTACTTTGTGCTAAAATGCTGCTGTGCTATGTGCTATGCTTTCTGGTGCACTTAATTTCAGATTTTTCTTTAAATCCTTCTTCATCTATCTGTTAAAATTGAAACTCATAATGACATCAAGTTTTAAATCTTTGTAACACTGAGATTGAGAGTTTTTTTGAAACAATTTTTCTTGTTATTCAATTTCAAATTTACTTCAGAGAATTTGCAAAGTGTTTCATTGGCGGTGAAGACGAGTATTCAGTGCAATTGCGCAAATGGAGTACGAGAGAATTGCAGGTATGAAAAAATGGGGAAATAGAAGTACTTTCTGGAAGTAGAAGGACGTTCTGGGAAGTAGAAGTACTTTCTGGAAGTAGAAGGACTTTCTGGGAAGTAGAAGTACTTTCTGGAAGTAGAAGGACTTTCTGGGAAGTAGAAGTACTTTCTGGAAGTAGAAGTACTTTCTGGAAGTAGAAGTACTTTCTGGGAAGTAGAAGTACTTTCTGGAAGTAGAAGGACGTTCTGGGAAGTAGAAGGACTTTATGGGAAGTAGAAGTTCTTTATGGGAAGTAGAAGTACTTTCTGGGAAGCAGAAGCTCTTTCTGGGAAGCCTAATATCACAAGATTTAGACAAAAGTATACAAGTGCAATGGGATGTGGCGGTGGATGGAAAATGATTGCTGATGATACTGTTTCCCTGGAGAATTTCGCTATGGTATTAAAAGATCTGTATCAAAACATGAAATTCTAGATCCTCCATCTTGTCGCCGAATGTCAACAAATGCGGATCTATTTCGACGAGTTGAAAGGATCGATAAGGTACGAAAGATTTGCTATTTTATTATATGTTAATTCGCTTAATTTGTTAATCCTTGATAGCTAAATAATATTGTCAGAATCTTTTTTTCAAAACCCAATAATTGTTTAGTTGTATTGCCTCATTGGACGCAGAGTGTCCTTTATCAAATCGACTGAAGCGTGAAATCTCGGAGAGTGAGGAAAAAAAGTGGTAAATGGATTGATTTGCTAGATTTAAATGGATACAATAAAAAGATTCTCTATAACGGAATGGAAGAGACCAAGAAATGTTTCCGTTATATAGAGCTTATATAGAATGCCATTAGATATAGCTTAGCGTTAGTCGGGACCAAAATTCCATTCCGTTATAGCTTAGCGTCGGCCAGGACCAAAATTCCATTCTGTTATAGCTTCCATTCCGTTATAGAAAGTTTACTGAATTTAGTTGATTATAGGAGATAAAGATTAAATAATTTGGCTGGTTATTGTTATTGTTTTACTTGAAACGATCAATTTTTGTTTAGGCTAGAAGGAAATGGAGGACTGGAGATGTCCCAGTTTGTCCAGTTTGAGCACTTTCTTCAAAAGAAACCCATTTTGGTGTCAAGAGAAAAGTTGTAGAGAATCAAAAATTAGGCTTATAGCCAAATTTCCAAAAAGATACACTTAGTAGTTTCGCTTAAAATGCAAGTTTTGTGAAAATTCGTAAATTTGGGCATTTCTTGAAAACCAGTTTTTGAATCGTTCTGAAAATTTGGATATAAGCTTGATTTTTGATTCTCTACAACTTTTCCATTGACACCAAAATGGGTTTCTTTTGAAGAAAGTGCTCAAACGGTCACATATGACAATAGCCGACAGTTTTCAATTCACCAACCCAATAGCTTAGCATCTTCGATGACCAAAAAAGAGACCAAGAAATGTTTCCGTTTTATAGAGCTTATATAGAATGCCTTTATATATAGCTTAGCGTCAGCCGGGACCAAAATCTCATTCCGTTATATAGAGTTTTCCGCTGGATAGGGTTCCGTTATAGAAAGCTTACTGGATTTAGTTGATTATAGGAGATAAAGATCTCTATAACGGAATGGAAGGAACCAAAAAATGTTTCCGTTATATAGGCTTAGGCTTAGGCTTAGGCTTAGGCTTAGGCTTAGGCTTAGGCTTAGGCTTAGGCTTAGGCTTAGGCTTAGGCCATTAGATATAGCTTAGCGTCAGCCGGGACCAAAATTCCATTCCGTTATATAGAGCTTTCCGCTGGATAGGGTTCCGTTATAGAAATTTTACTGGATTTAATTGATTATAGGAGATAAAGATTAAATAATTTGACTGGCTATTGTTATTATTTTACTTGAAACAATCAATTTTCGTTTAGGCTAGAAGACAATCAGATTCCTGCTTTCGAGCCGAGAATGACGTCAAGGAAGATGAAATCGATTGAGGTGACTTTTAGAGCAAATTAAAAGCAAATCTCAAATCAAGTCGAACAAAAAAAAAATTACATAAAAACCGGATTACACAACTGGAATTAAATTAAGTATAAAAAAAACAATGACATTAAAAATTCGTATGCTTGCTGATAGTGCCTTTATTTGAAACAGAATTTTTTCAATTTTAGATTCAGATTATTTTGCTAACTTTAAGGAATGCTTTATGTATATTTTATTCAAAAATTTATTCAGAATTTTATTGCTTATATACTTTAGTGTGTTTGAGAGCCAAATTTTTCCGTTTCCCCTTATTTCGTTTCCTTTGAATTTGTCGGTTTTGAGGTTTTCTCAAAAAAATCAAAAACTTTCAAACTTTCCAAAATTTTTAGTGATAAAAGTTCATATTTTCTTCAAGTTTTTTAAAGAAAATAAATCAAAAACTCATTTTTAAACGTATTCTTTCAATTTTTGATCTTTTATTTTTCTTTTTTGTCTTCAGATCTCCGACCAATGGGATTCGTCATTCACGAAAGCGTTGGACGTGCAAGCGATCTCGTTTGCTGCTCAATTCCTTGAGTTCTTCGAGAGATTTGAGGTATACAATGTTTTCAAATAAAAATAGACGTGTTTTAGATAAATAATTTTGTAAATTCCCAAAGTAGAATCAGAAAAACTTGTTTCAAATTACTTAATTATTAAATCATCTGACGGTGGGTAGGGCTTTCACCGTCCACCTCGGATCTAAAGATATCAGATCTATATCTAAATATATCTAAAGATCTAAAGATGTCTAAAGAAATCTAAAGAAATCTAAAGATATACAGGGTGGCTGAAAATTGCGCGCGCCAAAGAAAACGCCATAATTTCATTTTCTTTTAAAGAACATGTAAAAATATTTATTTATATAATAGTTGTAACAAAAGCATTTAATAATTAAAAGAAATTTTCGAAGTGGCCTCCATCCGCTTTGATACAGGCTTCAATTCGCTTCTTTACAGAATCGACGGTGCGGCGGAGATAATTTGCATCTAAGTCGTTCCAGATTTTGTTCCAGATTCCAGATCCAGATCAATTCTCGACGTAAATCATGCAAATTGTTGATTTTCCTATTTCTCAATTGTTCTTCCATAAAACCCCAAACCGAAAAGTCCAACGGATTGAGATCCGGGCTGTTTGCAGGCCATTGATCCTTCGTCAAAAAAGATTCAATTTTGGTTTCGAGAAAGCGAATTGTTGTTTTGGCTCTGTGGGCCGGCGCCCAATCTTGTTGAAGGGTCAAATTGGGACGACTCCTCTTCCACGGCACCACAGCTTTCTCGAGAATCTGTATAAAGATATATAAAGATCTAAAGATCTAAGGATATCAGATCTAAAGATATCTAAAGATCTAAAGACCTAAGGATATCTAAAGCTCTAAAGATATCAGATCTAAAGATATCTAAAGCTCTAGAGACCTAAAGCTCTAAAGATATCAGATCTAAAGATCTAAAGCTCTAAATCTCTCTAAAGATCTAAAGTTCTAAAGCTACGATCTAAAGCTTTTATTTTTTTTTATCTTTGCTTTAAATAATCGTCAATTTTAGGAAATCTTTCCATTGCCAACACTGAAAAGTTTCCCAACTCGTTTTTGGAACGAATTTTTCCAATCGATCGCCGATCACTCTGAGAATGGAATGAAGATTTCTGAAGGGGAAAACGAGAAACTTTTAGGAAATGGTTTGTTTTTCGAAATTTGAAAACTTTTGATTGCAAAAATTTCATATTTTAGTGCAAAATGGTGCCACTTTTTTGAAACTTTGGAATAATTCGGTCTCGGAGTGGGCCTCCGGAAGGATTCGACCGTTTGAGGTGTGAAAAATTTGAGTAAACTGGGCACTTTTCAGTTGTCAGCAGTGGCTTTTTTTCAAATTTTATTCTTTCAAAAGAGATATTGATCGTTTAAACAGATATTAATCGTTTAAACAGATATTGATCGTTCAAAACAGACACGCTCGGTGGTGCAGTGGTAGTGCCGCTGTCTTTAATTTTGCCGCTGTTTGCCGCTGTTTGCCGCTTCAATTTTGCCCCTTTGGATCAATTTTTTTTCTTTTTTTGCATTTTTTAATGTTTCGAGCAGTAAAGTTGGATTTTGAGTGGTTTTTGATTATCTTTAGCTTTGATTGCCATCTGATTGCCATCTGATTGCCATCTGATTGCCATCTGATTGCCATCTGATTGCCATCTGATTGCCATCGCATAGCACTTTCTTGAAAAAAAGAACTTAAAAGGAATGAAAGTCTCTGAAAATAGGAAACTCTTGTAAGATTGATAATCGTGGAAATGTTTACCCCAAAAACCGGTAAATTAACGCTGGCTATTGCTCAATCTGTCATTTTCTTTTTTTGGCTTTGTAAACTTGAAAAGGTACAAATAATTTTTGCAACTTTTCAGAAAAACTCTATCTCCTGCACTTTCTTGATCTTTTGTAGGGTATTGTTTTGCGAAAGGTGGCAATCAAAGCTAAAGATACTCAAAAACTACTTAAAATACAACTTTACTTCTAGAAATATTAAAAACAATTCAAAAAAAAGGAAAAAAAATTGACCCAAGGGGATCGAACTCGGAGACAACGGCAAAGGAGACAGCGGAAGGAAATGGCACTACCAATGCACCACCTACTCACCTTTTTCGGTGAGCGATGGTTAATATCTGTTTAAACGATCAATATCTCTTTACAAACTCATAAATCGCTCAATGCACTAGGGGTCAAATTTCAAATGCGTTTTCACAGAAATCGAGCACGTTTTGGCAAAAACCAAAAACGCCATCGTTTTGCCCGTATCCGTCTTGCGTAAGCCATATAGCTTGAGTTCGGATTTGCGCTTACGAAATCCGACCGTTCCCTAGGAAGAATGAAATTGGAAATTTGAAAATAGAAATAGACCGGAGATCGAAACATTGGGATGGTCGTGTGCACTTTGATTGACTTCAATTTGAAACATAATCTTTTAAAATCGGTTTAAAATCGGTTTTTGAAATCGAGTTTTAAACTAAAATCAAAGCCAAGTTGTTCCGACTGTTATCCGTCTTGCGCAAGGCATCTAGCTTTAGTTCGGATTCGCGCTTACGAAATCCAACCCTTCCCTAGTAAGAATCAAAGGAAATTTGAAAATAGAAATCGGAGATCGAAACATTGGAATGGCCGTGTGCACTTTGATTGACTTCAATTTGAAACATAATCTTTTAAAATCGGTTTAAAATCGGTTTTGAAATCGAGTTTTAAACTAAAATCAAAGCCAAGTTGTTCCGACTGTTCTCCGTCATGCGCAAGGCATATAGCTTTAGTTCAAATTCGCGCCTGTGAAATCCGACCGCTCTCTCGAAGTATTGAAGTGGTCGTGTGCACTTTAATTCACTTCAATTTGAAACATAATCTTTTAAAACAGGATTTGAAATCGAGTTTTAAACTAAAATCAAGGCATCTAGCTTTAGTTCAAATTCGCGCTTGTGAAATCCGAAAATTCCTCTTGAAATATTGAAGTGGTCGTGTGCACTTTCATTCACTCAAATTTGAGACATAATTGAATTTTCGCTGGTCTCTTGCACATCCTCAAATTTGAAACATCTATTTTTCGATGCGACAAGTTCGATTTCCGATAATTGTTGAAAAAAACAGTTGACAACTGTTGAAAAGTGCTCCAGGAATATTAGTTGGAAAATTGTCTAATTTTTCTGTCTAATTTTCATTCAGGACTCCTCCCCGCATCCACTCATCAAGTATTCGCAGCTGAAAGCGCTTATCGCAGCCGCCGACAAGCTGAAATCGATCAGTCGACAAGTGAATATTTTTAGGGAAATTTATTTTAAATCCAAATTTGATCGGATCAGTTGTTGTTGTTCTGTTGTTGTTGTTGTTGTTGTTATTTTGTTGTTGTTTTGTTGTTGTTGTTGTTGTTGTTGTTATTGTTGTTGTTCTGTTGTTGTTGTTTTGTTGTTGTTATTTTGTTGTTGTTGTTGTTGTTATTGTTGTTATTGTTGTTGTTGTTGTTTTGTTGTTAAAAGTTAAATCAACTAGAAAAAGCGAAATAGTGAAAAGGTAGAAAAGTTAGAAAAGCTAGAAAAAAACAAATAGAAAAGCTTATATTACTAATCCGATAGTTCAATCTCTACTAGATCTGGGAATTTTCATTGTAAACGTTAATATGTGTCCAACGGAAAGCCATATCTCAGCCAATTTCCCTCCAAACTTTTCGTTTTTGATTTCAATCGATATTCAAATGAAATTCTCCGTCAATTGATCATAAAATCCAAAAGATCGAGGTGAAATTGACCAAGATATGCCATTTTTCTGTTGCACTATTGACGTTCACACCGAAAATTCCTACCGTAAATACTGTAATAGTACCCCACCCCCCTCGTACAGTCGCGTAGTCGCAAAATTTTTTTAGTATTTCATTTTTTTCAAAGCACCCCGACTTTCAAAAAGTCCATCTTTGGTACCAAAAGATAGTCCTGAATTTCAGCTATTTTTTGATCCCTAAGCGCACATTGTAGCATAAACCAGTGTCGAGAAAAACGCGTCCAAAGCTAGACTACGCAACACTCCACACCGTCATTATGGGGGTGGGGTACTATTACAGTATTTACGATGGGTCTAAACTTTCTACAACTTGAGACTGACTTTTTTTTGAAGTCAGTTGAAGTTTTCATTCAAAAAATTTGCATAAAACAGATAAACAATTATCTATTAGGGTGGTGCAAAAGAAACTGCCGATTTGACGGTAAATTCAAAAAAAGATGGCGTTCGATGGTGACATGATCACAATGGAATATTTTCGCAATATCTCGAGCAGATTGGCATGGATTGGCATGGATTGGCATGGATCGGCCTGAATAACATCCCTCAGCTTGGCTTCGTTCACGACTTCTGGCCTCGAACCGTGCTCGTAGTCTTCCAAAGTCTCGTCTCCCTCTCGGAATCGTTGAAACCAAGTCTGACACTGCCTGAGAGACAAACTGCCATCTCAGCAGCACAGAGAGAACGATGCGATTCGGCAGCTTTCCAATTTTGAAGTTAGCAATAGCAAACAAATAAATAGCAAACAGTAATGCTGCTCGTAGCACAAACTTTTGCTCGATCATGATCTAAATAAAAAATATAGGCATTTTTAAATAAAATAAACAACAACCAAAAAATTCAAATGTCGAAATAAATAGCAAACAAATATGCGAACAAAACATCAAAAAAAATAATGCCGTTAGCATCGCTCGTTTCTGATAAATGAAAGCTGATACCAATCGGCAGTTTCTTTTGCACCACCATAATAGAAAACCCTATTTGTAATAAAGTTCTTAAAGCTAAAACCTTTTTTACATCTTCTTCTAAAACAACACTAATACTAGAAAAAAAATAGGTGCTTTACGGTTAACAGCGAGTCGTTAACGGCAGTCGAGCGTTTATCAGGGGGCCCGAGTTTTTGGCCTACTTGCAGCTGATTTTTAAGCACCTTAAACTTGTCAGTTCAAGAAGTTCTAATAAGATTTAGATAGCTTGAAACGTCAACTTTCAGAAACTATTTGTTTCACCAAAAATTAATAACAAAAATGTATAACAAAATGATACCAATCGGCAATTTCTTTTGCACCACCCTAATAGATCAGTGAATTTTGATAAAATAGTGCCTATTTTGAAAATTTTATATTAGAAAAATGATAGAAAAGCAGCTATTGGATTGGATGACAGCTACAATGACCTCAAAATACGAGTCGATTAAAACTTTGCTCATTGAACTCATTAGCATTAGTTTGAAACTTGAATTTTTTGCCCATTGAATTAATTGACCCTTTGGCATCTTATTTTAATTTGAAACTTGAATTTTTTGCCCATTGAACTAATTGACCCTTTGGCATCTTGCTTTAATTTGAAACTTGAATTTTTTGCCCATTGAATTAATTGACCCTTTGGCATCTTGGTTTAATTTGAAACTTGAATTTTTTGCCCATTGAATTAATTGACCCTTTGGCATCTTGGTTTAATTTGAAACTTGAATTTTTTCAACAAACAAAACTTGATTTTTTTCCAGAACGGAGCCCCCGATCCTTTTGCAATGCTGCACGCATATATGGGACAAGTTTTAAGCGTAAGTTTTAAAGAAAAATTGAAGATATGACATCTTTCCGTTGCACACCTATTGATGTTCCGCTGAAAATGAATCATTTAGACCGCTGGACTTGATGAAGCGGATCTGTGCGCGGAAAGTCATATCATCATCGAGCCGAACGTCGTCGATGAGGGAGAGATTATTGTGCTAACAGTCAACTTTGAGAATCTTAAGGTTGCTTTAATCTAGCTACCCTATTGGGTAAATTCTCTTATTCTTTTCCCGTATTTGAGTACGTCCACTTTCGCGCAGAATAGAAAACAGGATATCAGGGAAACAGAGTATAAGACCGATCTTGTATCCGAGACGGTCTACTATTTTTTTCGATCATCCCCTAGACCCAGTCTTCTACTGGTTTGCTGGAAAAGGCCTTAGGAAAGGTTGTAGAGCTTCAAAAATGTTTTCATAGAAGGGAATCGTATGCGTAGATTCCGAATTTCGACAAATCAGACCTCGCTGACACGTCAAATAAACGAGGCCGGTCTTCTAATAGAGTAAATACGGTAAATACGGTAGTTGCTACCTAATCTTTGAGCTCTAAAGTATCTTTGTTAGTCCAATAATGTTCAGAACTAAAGTCAATCAATCATTTTTCGCTCTAAAGTAACTTTCTAACATTGTTCATAAACTTTCAGCCAACTTTTCTCAACGCGATCCGCTTGGAGATTGAATGGGTTCGTGGAGATGTTTACACACCTGAAGTGAAATTCGCTCCTGGAATTTTCTCATATACAGGTTGGGAAATCGATTTGAAAAGATCTTGTTTCAAAAGAATGGTTTAACTGCTCGTTTAGCTAAAGTTTAGATGAAAATCCAGTCAATCCCACATTGTAGGAGTGATTTGTTTGTTAATTTTGCTTTTAAGGTATCGATTTACAAGGCTTGATTAGCTCGGGAACAAGGCTTGATTAGCTCGGGAACAAGGCTTGATTAGCTCGGGAACAAGGCTTGATTAGCTCGGGAACAAGGCTTGATTAGCTCGGGAACAAGGCTTGATTAGCTCGGGAACAAGGCTTGATTAGCTCGGGAACAAGGCTTGCTTAGCTCGGGAACAAGGCTTGCTTAGCTCGGTGTAGCCAGAGAAAAAGAGCAATAAGCACAAAAACCATTCTAGAGTTGAAATAAAAAAAGAAAATCACAAAATCATTGTTGAAAAAACATTGTTGAAGTGTTAAATACCTAAAGAAATTAATAAATTCTCAAATATCTATCAAATAAATGATATTCAGCTAATTTCTAGGAATCCACGCTCTCGATGGATCACAAAGCTTGCCGGGTAAATCGTCATTCCAAGCGATTGCTAAATACACAACAGCTCCCGGGCCTCGTTTAACACGAGAAGTCGTTTATCAGGTGTGAATAACAAAGATTATAAACCTTTTATTCAACTATTAAAAGTCTAGAACTAAATCTGAAACTTAAAGGATTAAAAAAACATAAAACATGATCTGACAATTCAATAGAGTCTAAAGCAATCTTGAAACTATTGGGTTGGTGAATTGAAAATTGCGGGCTATTGTCATATATCATAAAATTTGTGTGTTCCGTATGTTCTTTGTGCGGCCGCGTAATCGCTCGTCGTCTGGCGCAGGGCTTTAACGTAACACCCTGCCCTCTCTGGGCTCTAATCTCTTCTGGCCGTTGCCGAATCTTCAAGTTCGAGATCGACTTCTCCGCAAATCAAGGCTAATCTCGGTCTATTGGATTGGTGATTTGAAAACTGCGGGCTATTGTCATATGTGACAGTTTGAGCACTTTCTTCAAAAGAAACCCATCTTGGTGTCAATGGAAAAGTTGTAGAGAATCAAAAATGGAACTTATCTCCAAATTTTCAGAACGATTCAAAAACTGGTTTTCAAGAAATACCAAATTTACGAATTTTCACAAAACTTGCATTTTAAGCGAAACTACTAAGTGTATCTTTTTGGAAATTTGGCTATACGCCTAATTTTTGATTCTCTACAACTTTTCTATTGACATCAAAATGGGTTTCTTTTGAAGAAAGTGCTCAAATGCTCAAACTGGGACATCTACAGTCCTCCATTTTTGAGTCTCACACTTGTCTCACACACAAACCAAAATCCTACTACGAAAGAGGAGACGAAAATCCGCAAATTGCCTGTAAAATGGGCAGAAGTCGTCAATAATAATGGAAATTATTTGGAATGAATTGATGGTTTTATGTTGAATAAATTTTAGTTCAAAGTCCGGCAATTTTCAATTCACCAACCTAATAGCACAGGATTTAAGCGTAAATTTACTCGATAGAGAATTCCAATCTAACAATTCTTAAGCGAATTAACTTGAAATTATTTGTTTTGTTCATGTTTTTGAAACATTTTCAACGAACCCACCAGCTGAAAAACTCGCCTAACAGCTGGCGACGTTTTTGTGACTGTGGCGCAATCGAGAACGCGCTTCTCTACGGCCCACCAGCGTCAAACTAGCCGGGTTCGACTCCCGGCTGTGCCGTAACTTTTACTTTTTAAAAAAAGAAATGAGATAAACAACTATAGAGAATTCTAAGTCTAACAAACTAAAAATTATGTAAATTGGCCAACAGGGAGCCGAGTTCAGACGGATAGACAGACGGACAGACAGACGGACAGACATTTCCCTTATATATAGTAGATTTAACTGCTAAAACTTTGAAAGCAAAGTATTTCTAATATTTTAGCCAATAGTGATTGTTTCGTTCGAGAATGGAGAGAAGAAAAGCATTCAAAAGCTTCAATCTTTTCCAGTGATCATTCGACCAAAGCCGGCTTTGAAGGTTTGATTTCAAAACTGGTATTCCGTGCGTACTTTATGCCAAAATTTCTGAACGCAAGCCTTACGATGCACTGAATTCTTCATTTTCTTCATTCATTGATATCATAAGGAAATATGAGGAATTTCGGCCAGAAATAAGCAGCCAGAAATAAGCAACCTTTTTTCTAGAGTGTGTTCCTTGCGAGTAAGTAAAATTACTCGAGTAAAATTCGCATGAGTAATCTTTTACTCGATTAATCGACGCTTTTGATTGATTAGCTACGAGTGAATCCTCTTTACACGTCGAATAAAGTGAATATCTTTACTTGTGAAGGGAATTTCCCACCAAAATCAGTTAAACGATTGAATATCTTTAAAAAGAGTCGTATATAAGGCGGCACTCGTGATTTTTGCGCCATTTCTTTGCAATAATTTTCGCTAAAAGTACGGTAATTTTTCGTAAGCGTGCATTTTTTTAAAAAAAGGCATTACTCGCAACGAACACACTCTAGTTTTTTTCTGTTTTGTTCAATGTTAATCATTGTTTAATTTGAAACTTGAAACTGTAAAATCTGCTTGAATAAAGCCAGCAATAAACCAAACTTGTTGAGATAGGGAACCAAATTGAAAGAGATAGGGAACCAAATTTAGAGAGATAAGGAACCAAATTTAGAGAGATAGGGAACCAAATTGAAAGAGATAGGGAACCAAACTTGTTGAGATAGAGAACCAAATTTAGAGAGATAGGGAACCAAATTTAGAGAGATAAGGAACCAAATTGAAAGAGATAAGGAACCAAATTGAAAGAGATAAGGAACCAAATTGAAAGAGATAAGGAACCAAACTTGTTGAGATAGGGAACCAAATTTAGAGAGATAGGGAACCAAATTTAGAGAGATAAGGAACCAAATTGAAAGAGATAAGGAACCAAACTTGTTGAGATAGGGAACCAAATTTAGAGAGATAGGGAACCAAATTTAGAGAGATAAGGAACCAAATTGAAAGAGATAAGGAACCAAACTTGTTGAGATAGGGAACCAAATTTAGAGAGATAGGGAACCAAATTTAGAGAGATAGGGAACCAAATTTAGAGAGATAAGGAACCAAATTGAAAGAGATAAGGAACCAAACTTGTTGAGATAGGGAACCAAATTTAGAGAGATAGGGAACCAAATTTAGAGAGATAAGGAACCAAATTGAAAGAGATAAGGAACCAAACTTGTTGAGATAGGGAACCAAATTTAGAGAGATAGGGAACCAAATTTAGAGAGATAGGGAACCAAATTTAGAGAGATAAGGAACCAAATTGAAAGAGATAAGGAACCAAACTTGTTGAGATAGGGAACCAAATTTAGAGAGATAGGGAACCAAATTTAGAGAGATAGGGAACCAAATTTAGAGAGATAAGGAACCAAATTGAAAGAGATAAGGAACCAAACTTGTTGAGATAGGGGAACCAAATTTAGAGAGATAGGGAACCAAATTTAGAGAGATAGGGAACCAAATTTAGAGAGATAAGGAACCAAATTGAAAGAGATAAGGAACCAAACTTGTTGAGATAGGGAACCAAATTTAAAGAGATGGGGAATTTTGTCTTAAAAGTTTGAAGTTTTCAAAAATAATGAAAATCTTTTCAGGTTCACTACTTTATTCAACAGGAAAAAGCCTCTCATTTTGTTTATGTGATTTTCGTGAATAATGGGTAAATCTTTAGTATTTAAAAAGAAAAATTTGAAAAAGAAAATCTTTAAAAAATAAAAGTCTCAAATTTAGTTATGTGACGCTAAAAAATGTGCGCGTAATCAACTTTAAAGTTGGCTACGAAAAAGCGAACAAAGAGCCGACTCGTTTTAGGATTGATGAAATGCGGATTGATGGAATACAGAAAAACGGGTTTGTCGAGAAAATGGCTAGCCTTTTGGCCCTTTTGGCCCTTTTGACCCTTTTGGCCCTTTTGGCCCTTTTGGCCTTAGAACTTTTTCAATTTCGCGTAAATCGAGTGTTCTTTTAGTGGCTTGAGCTACGAATTAGGAATGATTAAGCCGGGAAAGACGAAAGTCGCCACGTTTCGAGTGTTTCCACTGGATAACGAGGTGAGATAGAAAAGAGAAACACTTCAAATCCATCTCTATAACTGGTATTCCGTGAGTACTTTGTGCCAAGGTTTGTAAACGCAAGCCTTACGATGCACTGAATTCTTCTTTAACTAGTAAAAACTAGTTTTTAAACTTGTAAATCATGTTTTCCAGGGCTTTTTACACTCGATTCAAAGTCAAACTCTTGTCGACGAGCGCTTGTTACCTTTCGAGGAAAATAAGCCATTGGCGATTCGATGGATTTTGGAGAAAGGTGACTTTCTTGAGTAAGAAAATTCAATTCAAAGATTCAATTCAAAGATTCAATTCAACAATTCAATTCAACGATTCAATTCAATTCAAAGATTCAATTCAAAAATTCAATTCAAAGATTCAATTCAAAGATTCAATTCAAAGATTCAATTCCAAAATTCAATTTCAAATTTTCTCGTTAAATTCTCAAATTAAACTTGCAATCAAATTTATATACGAAAAAGTGCCCAAATTTTTCTTTGAATTCAACTTTGAAACACTGTTTATAAACAAAAAATCCAAAATATGGATCGAATGGAAACGCCTCCTCATTCTGGACGTAGATTTGGGGAAATTGGGGACAAAATTATGGGAATAACAATCGACACAAAAACAATGATAATGATGATGATGATGATTATCACGGTGAGGGATAAGGCGTCATTCGCCGAGTCTCCCCTTAATCCATCTACCCAATTTTGAAACTTAAACATTTTCGCCAAAATAGTTGACGAGAAGTTGTCTAAATGAAAAAATCGAAAAAATCGTCCCTTAAATATGTAAAAACTTTGCAAACAATTTCAGTAATGGAAAAAGGACAAGCCTTTTTGTATTTTACCTAAGCATAAGCTACGGTAAAGTACACTGTACTAGCAAAAAAATGCAATTTTAACAAATGCAACAAATACAACCAAAAAAACTAGACTTAAAGCTTAGTTTTCTTGACAATTGTTAAAGTTTTATTTGTTTTCTGTTAGCTGAAAAAGATTGTAGACAAATAAAGTGATTGTTTATTTGTAATGATTTACTGAGCTGCCAACACTATATGATTTGCCAAGAAAATAGAACTAGTGCTTAAAAGAGAGAAAGCTTTCGTGAAGCTTATGATTTTTTTAACGGAATTACGAAAAGAAACGAAGAGACTCATAAAAACCAAGAAAAACCTAACAAAAAACCTAACAAAAACCTAATAAAAAGCACTAAAAAAACATGTTTAAGTAAACCAGTAAAGTAAACCGGTAAACCAGTAAAGTAAACCAGTTTAGAGTAAACCAATAAACCAGTAAAGTAAACGAGTTTTTTTTGTCAACAACTCATTTTAGGCCTTATCGTTTCTCCCCTGGAATCAGAAGAACCCCGGTTTTACTTCGATCAAAAAGCGGCCACAATCTCGAATATAATTGAGCTACAAAATATTAAAGTAAGTTTTAAAAAAACCAGTTTTTAAAAAGATTTGAACGGTGATAAAGATGAATTTGCTTAATTGATTGATCAATTAATGATATTTGCGGCGTATTAATAGCTTTATTAGTGTCACTAAGTTGATGGGATACCCATTTTTCCACGAGATTCGCTTTACCCAAACGATGTAAATGATCCGCAATTGTTGTGTGCCCTGCAGCAAACATTGTTACAAAATATTAAAGCTACAAAATATTAATAGCTTTATTAGTGTCACTAAGTTGATGGGATACCCATTTTTCCACGAGATTCCCTTTACCCAAACGATGTAAATGATCCATCCGGATCACGTTGTGGCGTCGCTTTTGGCTGTTCTCGTGGACTGAAACACTGCGGCTTTCGCGATGGGTTATCGTAGCAAATCCATTTTTCATCGGCCGTCACAATAGTGTCCCAAAAACCTCGATTTTTTGATTGACGAAAAAGAATACCGGCCATAGTCACTCGAGTAGCTTTATTAGCCTCACTAAGTTGATGGGATACCCATTTTTCGACGAGATTCGCTTTACCCAAACAATCTAAACGGTCCGCAATTGTTGTGTGGCTTACAGCAAACATTTTTACAAAATATTAAAGTAACTTTGAAAAAAAAACCAGCTTTTAAAAAGATTCGAACGGTGATAAAGATGAATTTGCTTAATTGATTGATCAATTAATTCGAGATCTGCAGCGTATTAATAAAGAGTTACCCTTTTACACTAGCCTTTATTTGAAACTTGAGCTTTTTAAGTGAGGATTTGGATCAAATAATTAAGCTTTATCTATAGTCAAATAACTATAAAGTTTAAAGTTTTTAAATAATTTGATATTATTGGCATTTTTGATAGCCATAAATAAAATAAAAAGAGTTTTTTTAATGAAAAAAGCCAAGCACGTGTTTTCGTCTCTTTTTAAACTAAAAACTTTACAAAATCGTCACTTTGTCATTGTCGAAACTTTCAAAATCCTGCTTGTTCTTGCTCAAAACGAAAATCCTGCTTTGCACTGTTTAAATGCGACTTTCTGGAAAGCTTGTTTCAAAGTTTTAAATCTTAAATGTTAAAGGATGACTTTAATGATTCATTTCTTTAAACAAAATTAAATTTGATTAAATTTGAATGAATGAAAAATTGATTGATTGATTGATTGATTGATTTCTTTCTTGATTTCTTTCTTGATTTCTTTCTTTTCTTAAATCCAAACCGTTATCTTACTTTTTCATTAAATTTTAATAAGTTTGTTTCAAAAAAATGCCTATAAATGCCTATTATTAGGTTGATGCAAAAGTCTTTTTCATTTTTTTTCGTACTTCCGTTAAAAAGTAACAAATTCACCAATTGAACAACGGTTTATTGCATTCGAAAGGCCAATTATTTTTCTGCAAAATGACATTAAAACGAGTTTAAAATGTCTTATGTCTAGATTTTTTTGAGAGCCTGAAGTCGGGTAGTCAAAAAAGGCGACGGCTCGATGATGCATTTTAGACGCTTTAGCTAAGGAAACCAATCTTGATGTTAATAAATAAAAGATAGAGCACAAAAAGTTCGATATTTTTTCAGATTTTCAGAGAAATTGATTCAGCCAATTTCTTTATAGAGGTTTTTATAGATTTTTATGAAAAACCCGTTTTCACTCTCGAATTTGCTTGAAAGTGAACCCAAATTGACTTAAAAAAGATGGGAAATTGAACAATAAACACTTTTCATTTAGAGCAAACCATAGGTTAATTGATGACTTTGTTATTTTTCAAAAGAAGTAGGAAAAAAATGAAAAAGACTTTTGCATCAACCTAATATTTCAAAAAAATGCCTATGTTTCACCGAGAAAATAATTAATCTAATTTTCGACTACATTTTGCAATCTAAAATCAATTTTTTAATCAAAAAGATCAATAGGATCAACTTTGGATTAGTTAAATGTCAATGAAATATCCTGAGAGGTTTTGGCTTTGCGAACCTGTCAGGAACTTGGCCCAGCATTTCAACGTTCTGGTATAAAATCTCTCATTTTAGTTTTAAGTCATAAAACTATATCCTTGCAACCAAAACCTGTAGCTTAGGATTGATTTTAGATGATTTTAATTAGAACATTGGTCTTATGACTAAAAATTTCCACAACTTTGCATTTGTCAATCAATCATTCCAGAAAACCTCGAGCGATTCGAATGTGAATGGCCGACTTTATCACCGCATTTCCACGGTGTTCATGAATCCAGAATCGCAATCGTTTCGAGGGGTTTTCCTTGGGAAAATCCTACTGTCAACAATGGATAAGAACTTCAAATTGATAAGGTAATTGAGAAAATAAGCATTTAAGACAAAATCTAATAGGAAAATCCAGAAATTTCTTAGAAAATGTATGAAAAGGATTGGTGGATATGTGGGAAAAAAGTTGATTTGACCAAAAAAAAGAGCTTTTAAAAAGTGTGTTTCATTTGTAGCGCGGTTTTTTTTAATGTTTAAAACTATACATTTCGCAAATTAGCGAGTTTTAGCGGAGTTTAATTAAGAATGTATCGAATTAATTGTGTAAAAATGTGAAATACTCAATGCAAATCTGCTTGAATATCTAGTGAATGTTAGTTTTGATAGTTAAGGAATAATTTAACCTATCGTAGATACTGTAATAGCACCCCACCCCCATAATGACGGTGCGAAGTGTTGCGTCGTCTAGCTTTGAACGAGTTTTTCTCGACACTGGTTTATGCTACAATGTGCGCTTAGGTATCAAAAAATAGCCCTGAATTTCAGCTTTTTTTTGATACCTAAGCGCGCATTGTAGCATAAACCAGTGTCGAGAAAAACTCGTTCAAAGCTAGACGACGCAACACTTCGCACCGTGGGAGTGGGGAGTGCGGTACTATTACAGTATTTATTACAGTGGGGTACTATTACAGTATTTATGGTAGCTAGATAATGTAGGTAATTATCTACCGGTAATTATTACAGTATTTACGGTAATTGCAAATTGATTCACGAAAAACCTCGACATCCGCAGTCACAGGAAAATTCGCAAACTGATATTTAAGCCTTTGTTAACTGATTACAATAAGTTTTTATTGTTTTCTTAGTTTTAAGAACTTTTCAAGATATCTTTAGCACCAATTAAAGGGAAAATAACACTACTGTGTGATCCTTTCACTTGCCGATGATTCAATAGAAGCATAAAGAAAAAAAATAGTAAATGAAAAAAAGATTTCCATCATTTTGCATTGAGCATTTGAACAATTTACACAAATTTCAAGCTCTAAATTTTTTCCAATTAGCTAAATAGCTTTCCTCAGTCATTTTAAAGTCAAGTTTTAGTAAAAAGTTGTACGTGATCACCCTGGATATATCTTTCAGATTGAACGAGGTTGGCTCAAAGTTAACGAACATTCAACGCAATTTGAACGGACCGAAATGGATACAAAAAGAGAATGGGGTAAAGATTGACGGTGTAGAACGAAAAAATGCTAACAACAAAGCAATGCTAATAATGAAGCAATGCTAATAATGAAGCAATGCTAATAATGAAGCAATGCTAACAACAAAGCAATGCTAATAATGAAGCAATGCTAACAACAAAGCAATGCTAATAATCAAGCAATGCTAACAACAAAGCAATGCTAATAATCAAGCAATGCTAATAATGAAGCAATGCTAATACTGAAGCAATGCTAACAACAAAGCAATGCTAACAACAAAGCAATGCTAACAACGAAGCAATGCTAATAATGAAGTCATTGATCAGTGGGATCAGTGTTTTGAAAGATTGTTTCTATTTAAAGAGTTTATACTATTAAAAGCAGTACTAGAATAAAGCCGTACTAGAATTAAATTGATTAGATTAAAGGAGGAATTGACAAGGATTTGTTGGCTAATACTTTGGATACTTTGAAACATTGTTTCTATTTAAAGAATTCATTCTACTAAAAGTAGTACTAGAATAAAGCCGTGCTAGAATTAAATTGATTAGAATAGATGCAGAATTGACATGCCATTTGTTGGCTAATACTTTCAACACTTTGAAACATTGTTTCTTTAGGTGGATTACCTTAACTTCATCGATTCAACTGCTCTAATGGCTCTTCCATCAAACACCATCTCTTATGAAGCGATTTTCGCTGATCCAAACGATTTCCCAACACCTATTTTCGAGCAAAATCTCTACCGAATACAAGGTTTCAACATTAAATAGATTAAAAAAGCATTGGAAAACTAATTCTTCTCATCAATGCCTTCTACAAACCAGGAATGAGGCAATGCCTTCTTTGCAATTCTCAACTTTATCCCGAGCATTCATTTGCAGTTCATCCCGATTCCTGGCCAATCCCGGGGACATCAATCGGCTCAATTTCCGCCTTTTCCCCAATCGATTCTCCACTGGAATTCTCTCTATATAGCTCAATTGGCGATGAGACGTTTTCGATTGACAAAAATACTGGTTTCAGTTTCAGTTTCAAGTTGTTGTAAATGATTTTCAGGCGAGATTTTCGTAGAGAATGAGTTGCGCAAAAACGAGGAACAGTGCGTGATCGTTGAAGTGAAAGATCAGCACGGGAATTCGTCAGTTTCAAAACTATTCTATGACTGAAACTTGGAAAATTCTTGTCAGAAAAGACTTTTACTTTTAGAGCCACAGTCCCATTGAGTATAAACTCAGGTGGGCAGCAAAAAAGTTGTGTTTCGAGGGGAGTTTCCGGGATGAAGCCGTTGATTCACATTGGGGAAACAGGTGTGTGAGAAGAAAAACGAAAAGATCTATCGTAATAGTAGTGAGCGTTGCCTAAATTGCTTGAAATCTCGAGAAGATCTATCAGAACCTATTGATGTGGGATCGGAAAATGTAGCTGACGATGAGATCTAGTGGGGGATTAGAGTGTTGAGCTTCTGCAAAAGCTTTGAAACCGTAAAATAGTCATCAACTCTGCTAACGGGGTTGGTGACTATTTTAGAATGATTAGAACGATTTTAGAACGATTAGAACGATCCCAAGGTTTCCAAGCTGAACTTATAAACATTTGAAGTTGAGTATTTGTGTGATCAGATTGATTGATTGATTGATTTAGTTGAAACATCTCCTCCCACCGAGTCTCCGTGGGTTTCTTTCCCAACTCCAGGCTTGCTCTCAACTCCAGATGTAACAACGGAGAAGTTTAACAGAAATCCAGATATTATTAAAGAATATTTTCAGCTTTGAAACTTCAACATTTCAAACGGAAATTACGGAAAATGAGAACCATTCAAGTGAAACGAGTCAAGCAACAGCAAGTCAAGGTAAAGTTCTTCAAAAATACTCTGTTTTTAGCAAAAATGCATCCTTTTATCAGTTTTTAATCACTTTTATTCGTTTTACCATCTTTTTATCAATCAAAACCTTGAATTCTTCATATAATTTGACATTTATTAGAAGCCAAACTGAAATAAGACATAACTGAAAACCAACGTTAAGCTTTCACACACATCCAAACACTATTGTCCGAGAAAAACACTATTGTCGAGTCGCCGAGTCGACGTAGAGTCCAAAAGCCAAGTCATGGAAGAAATAAGTTTAGCTGACCTGGTCCATGAGTATGAGTATACTTTGCCACAAATACTTTACCAGTATACCAAATTTGATATAAATCAATCCCACCAGGCTTGCTTACAAGTTCATTTTATTGCTAATATAATAGCTAAATAGCTCGATTACATGTCAAGAGCAAAATCAACAATTTTCTTCAAAAATTCTTCAAAAATACTCAGTTTTTAGCAAAAATCCATCCTTTTATCAGTTTTTAATCGCTTTTATTCGTTTTATCATCTTTTTATCAATCAAAACCTTGAATTCTTCATATAATTTGACATTTATTAAAAGCCAAACACATAACTGAAAACCAATGTTAAAAGATTTTTGTCCAGAACTGTAAATGGAAAGAAATGATCAAAGAAGACTAAAAAGAAAAAGAACTGGCTATCAATCTCTAATGTGTACGCTCTAATAAGCGCTCAACACTTGAATGGAAAACATTTACCGTAAATACTGTAATAGTACCCCACCACCCTCGTACAGTCGTGTAGTCGCAAAAGTTTTTTAGTATTTCATTTTTTTTCAAAGCGCCCGTACTTTCAAAAAATGCGTAGTCTAGCTTTGGACGCGTTTTTCTCGACACTGCTTTATGCTACAATGCGCGCTTTAATATCAAAAAATAGCTGAAATTCAGGGCTATTTTTTGATACCTAAGCGCGCATTGTAGCACAAACCAGTGTCGAGAAAACCTCGTTCAAAGCTAGACTACGCAACCATTCGCACCGTCATTAAAAAACATTGCAATGTCTAAAAGAGACTAGAGATAAAATCTGTCTAAAAGACAGATAGATAAAATTCTGATACATAAAGAGATAGATAAATTCTGATAGATAAATACTGTAATAGTACCCCACCTTCCTCGTACAGTCGTGTAGTCGCAAAAGTTTTTTAGTATTTCATTTTTTTCGAAGCACCCGTACTTTCAAAAAATGCGTCTTTGGTATCAAAAAATAGCCCTGAATTTCAGCTATTTTTTGATACCTACGCGCGCATTGTAGCATAAACCAGTGTCGAGAAAAACTCGTCCAAAGCTAGACGACGCAACGCTCCGCACCGTCATTATTGGAGTAGGGTACTATTACAGTATTTACGGTAGATAATTACCTAGATTATCTAGCTAATTATCTAGCTACCATAAATACTGTAATCGTACCGCACTCCCCACTCCCACGGTGCGAAGTGTTGCGTCGTCTAGCTTTGAACGAGTTTTTCTCGACACTGGTTTGTGCTACAATGCGCGCTTAGGTATCAAAAAAAAGCTGAAATTCAGGGCTATTTTTTGATACCTACGCGCGCATTGTAGCATAAACCAGTGTCGAGAAAAACTCGTCCAAAGCTAGACGACGCAACGCTCCGCACCGTCATTACGGGGATGGGGTACTATTACAGTATTTACGATAGATAATTACCTAGATAATTATCTAGCTAATTATCTAGCTAATAGTTTAAAGCATAACTTGTAAAAGCTATTGTTTATCGTTTTCAAGTTATCTTTTATTTTCAGAAGTTACCGATTCTGCAACTACAAGAAAACAAGACGAAACTGAGATTTCAACGTGGGAAACAACTGTGACAAATGGGCATACAGAGGTTTGAAAAAATTGCGATGCAATGAGTAAAAAATCAAATTATTAAATTTAATTATTAATAAATGAAATCAAAAAATTGAAATCAAAATTTCACAAAAAAAAATTCAACTTTAAAAGCACCTGGAAAATTTTCGCTTTTAGTAGCTTTTGGTGCCCAAATTGCCGCTTTTATAAGCTACAATTAGCTATTTATTTAGCTAATTGTCTTTTCAAGAACCAATCGATTAGCTAAATATCTTTATTTGACAGATTCATGATGCTATTTGTTCTTCAGATTATTCATTCAATCACACCGGACAATGAGCCGACTGAATGGACAACGAGTACGATAAGAACAGCGATCACAACACAAGCTATTGGTGATATTATAAAGCTAAAATTTATTCATTTAAGCATTCTTTAGCCATTTAGCATTTCAACAATGTAATTCTTTGTTTGATCAACTCTAGAATGTATTAGGCATTGATTTTAAACGTAAGTAAGAGGAAAAAGTAAAAAGTAGTAGTAAAAAAGACTTTCTGGACTCCAAAAAAGAAAAAGAATGTTTCAAAGTATTTGAAAGTAAGCAATGCTTTTATAAAACAATATCATAGTTTCTGGTAATTTTAACAGAGTTTCAACTTAATTAGGGACAAAAAAAGCCTGCTCATTGTTTAGTTAAGTAAATTTATTTTAGAACGATTAGAACGATTGGAACGATTAGAACGACTAGAACGATTAGAACGACTAGAACGATTTTAGAACGATTAGAACGATTAGAACGATTAGAACGAGTTTAGAACGATTTAGAACGATTAGAACGAGTTTAGAACTGTTTCAGAGTGCAGCTTTGAAGTAAGCCGACCTTTATCAGCTCAATGTTTCAATATCGGGGTGGTGATTTGAAAAAGTTTGAAAACAATGATGAAAGTTTGTTCTTAATCTTTGCTCAAACCTTTAAACCCTTTCTGGGGCACTCAATTTCACATTTCTCTCCCGACATCCAATCGTTTTTGCAAGAAAATGAAGAATTAAACACAAGAAAGAGTGCTTTTACAGAATTGAGCAAAGATTAAGAACAAGCCTTCATTATTGTTTTCAAACTTTTTCAAATCACCACCCCAATTTTGAAACATTGAGCTGATAAAGGTCGGCTTACTTCAAAGCTGCACTCTGAAAGAGTTCTAAAATTCGTTCTATAATCGTTCTAATCGTTCTAAAATCGTTCTAATCGTTCTATAATCGTTCTAATCGTTCTAAAATCGTTTTAACCGTTCTATAATCGTTCTAATCGTTCTAAAATAAATTGCTTAATCTAAAACAGACTTTCAAAAAAAAAGAATTTTCAGAAAGCACCACCGAAAGCATCACTTTCTATACAAATCGACCAGATGGGGTGGGTTTTAGGGAGATTTTTGAATAAAAAGGATAAGCTGAGATAAGATAAGCCGAGATAAGTCAAAAACAATGGCAAATACTAAAATTCATGCTTCATGCTGTTTTTAGATCTGAGAAAAAGAACGAATAATCTAGTCGGTGGGATTGAAGCCTTGGCCTCTAGACTAGGACACAGTCAGCCATGGCAGCTATTATATATTCCATTTTTGCTAGTTGCTATTTTAGTTGCTAAAAAAGTCGATTAGAATCGATTTCCATGAAACAAGAATCTTTTGAATAAACAAGTCTGATGCGACCAGTTTCCTTGAGATAAATGTCACCAATCAATAGCTTACTTACACTTTACTTTGAAACATGTATTTTTCAAAAATTTCCCTTCATTTCCAGGAACCATCGACCCTTTCACCGACCGATTTCCCGACCCCTGATATTCTGACGACAGGTGGGGGGATTAGTATTGAAGCAAAGAGAAATCTTTGCTACATATACATCCTACATCAACAATTAAACGCAACGTACCTTACTTAATATTAATTATTTTGAAAAATTGAATTCAAAATCTCAAATTTCGAAAGCAACTATTAGGTTGGCAAGAAAGTTTGTAGAAATTTGCAGAAATTCATTTGAAACTCAAATTTCCAGAAACCGGTGAAACAACAGTGGATAGTGGAGAGATCCACTCGACAATGATTTTGACTCCTGATGAGACACCTGAGCCGATCACACGGATTACACCTGTCGAGCAAACGGTTTGCTTTTGTTTTCATGACGAGAGTTTGCGCAGCTGGATTGTCACTGTTTTCTTGGCTCAATTGAAGCTTTTAATCCATACTTTCTTTAGAGTTTGTTTTAGAGCTCTTTAGAGTTTCTATAGGGCTTCGGGAGAGAGAGGTGACGATCCAAGAATCAAGCGTAGAATCAATAAGCGAGATAGGGTCATATTTATCAATTATTGGTTTTCAATAAATGCAAGTGATATCACTGACTGAAACGCCGCCGCTCACTATCGACTCACTCTTGCTCCACACAGCCGCACAGCTGCTTTATTTGCGTTTTCTTCAATCCAAGAATCAAGCGTAGAATCAATAAGCGAGATAGGGTCATATTTATCAATATAAGTTTATAAAACAAGCGTTTATTACACGAAAAGAAAGAAAGAAAGAAAACAAAACAAAAAGAAAACAAAAAGAAAACACAAATAAAGCAGCTGTGTGCGGCTGTGTGGAGCAAGAGTGAGTCGATAGTGAGCGGCGGCGTTTCATTCAGTGATATCACTTGCATTTATTGAAAACCGATAATTTGATCTAAGCAAAGTATCATAAATAAGAAATAAAGATCTAAACACACAATTTGATGGCACTGCGGCCATTGCCCCTATTACCCTTATTACCCAAATGATGTAAAAGAAAAAAACCCACTTAGTGGGGAACAGAAACATTTTAATCTTGCCAGCGTGATTGAACCCTCGACCTTCCGCTTAAGAGACAAGACTTCTAACCGGTCGGCCATCTGGCCCACTCAAAATTACACCACTTTACCAATTCAAGAATTTCTCGCGGGGAGAATAGGGGAAAGAGTGGACAAAAAGATATTCAGTTGGGTTCACTGAATATCCAACACAAGGGAATTTAACACAAAAAGGGCGCAGAATCTAGCCTATAAAACTGACGATTTTATCGCGTTATAGTTTAGCATTTGTGTGACTATTGGTAAGCTCTTAGAAATGATCCTGAACAACTTGAAACATCAATTTTTATGAGATGATTTCAATCAATTAAAAGTTTTCAATCGATTAAAAGTCTTTCTCTGAATCTCTTTTGCTAAAAAGTAAGTTTCGTTTTTCTTTTGCTTTGTCATATTGTCGTTTTGTGTTTATTTTTGAAAAGCTAACTGTTTATTCTTAATTTCTTAAGTTTATTCTTCAGAAATTTGTTAGGGAAGAGAATAAGTTGCTTCTTACAAATTTTGAAACAGCTTCTTTAGAGCTATAGAGCTATAGAGTTATAGAGCTTTAAAGCTATAGAGCTATAGAGCTATAAAGCTATAAAGCTATAGAGCTATAAAGCTATAAAGCTATAGAGCTATAGAGCTATAGAGCTATAGAGCTATAAAGCTAAAGAGCTAAAGAGCTATAGAGCTATAAAGCTATAGAGCTATAAAGCTAAAGAGCTAAAGAGCTATAGAGCTATAAAGCTATAGAGCTATAGAGCTATAAAGCTATAAAGCTATAGAGCTATAAAGCTATAAAGCTATAGAGCTATAGAGCTATAAAGCTATAAAGCTATAGAGCTATAAAGCTATAAAGCTATAGAGCTATAGAGCTATAGAGCTATAGAGCTATAAAGCTATAAAGCTATAGAGCTATAGAGCTATAAAGCTATAAAGCTATAGAGCTATAGAGCTATAAAGCTATAAAGCTATAGAGCTATAAAGCTATAAAGCTATAGAGCTATAGAGCTATAGAGCTATAAAGCTATAGAGCTATAGAGCTATAAAGCTATAGAGCTATAGAGCTATAGAGCTATAGAGCTATAGAGCTATAAAGCTATAGAGCTATAGAGCTATAAAGCTATAAAGCTATAGAGCTATAAAGCTATAAAGCTATAGAGCTATAAAGCTAAAGAGCTAAAGAGCTATAGAGCTATAAAGCTATAGAGCTATAGAGCTATAAAGCTAAAGAGCTAAAGAGCTATAAAGCTATAAAGCTATAGA